GGTTCTATCAGCGCTATGTATTTGGAACCCCTAAAAGGTTCTATACAGAACCCTTTTTAAGGGTTCAATAATAAGTGTAACCAGGAAAATGGTTCTATATGGAACCTTTTGGGTTCATTCATTATCATTTGTTTTGTCCTTTCTGGATTAAACATTTCATATTATTTATGAACATCAAGACCCTAAAATGTATTTATGAATACATGTGAATGATCACAAAATTCAAGATATGGGGATTAGAAAATGTATATATTTGTATCATTTTATGTATAGTTAATCAATATCACACGAAGAGTGCCATTTCAGTTTTTCTGCTCCAAAAATTAGCATGATTAAAATGGGATATTAACAGTTTAATAAACAATAATTGAATTACAACTACAAAATGTTGCAGAATAATGTAATATATGAATGAATAATAGCCTATAAAGAACCTTTGTGCCAAAAGTGTTCTTTCTTGTCATTATAGAACCTTTTTTTTTAGCATAAAAGGTTATTTGGAGTTGAGTAAAGAACCCTATGCTTCATATACAGAACCCCAATGAACCCTTTTTTCTATGAAAAGTCAATTGGGCCCATCAACTGTTTGGTTACCCATATTCCAAATATCTTGTTTTGTGTTCATCAGAAGAATGGTTCATTTTAACAGATCTTTCAGCATTACATTAAAATATTTAACATTTTTGTTGCTGCTGCCAGCACTGCAGTCATTAAATTAATTACAAACATCTGTTGCATTCATGTTTGATGCCATTTAAAAGTACTTGAATATCTGTTGAAATGCGTTTTTTATTGATGCCAATTTGCCATAATTCACACAGAGACGCGCATCATCAGTCTAAATTAATAACACACACATTATGCACTTCTCTACGAGGTGTGCAGTGGAGGATCATCAATATTTCATGGCTACTTTATAAGATGGCCTAAACTTTTCATGTTTCCATGAAGGCAGAGAAAAACTTACACTTACTGTTTTTCATTCCAACTCCCTGAAGAGGGAGGAGAGATCTAGTTTATGGAAATGGCACATTTAAAATGCTTTCCGTAATTAGTTCAGCTGGGAGGGACAGGATCTCATATTCTGCGCTGGAAGCTTCTGCCTACTTGGCATTATAAGTGAGACTGAGGCTGCTACATACATACTAATTGAGCAATAAGACAGAAATATGGATGGTCCAGCTACTCATGAGAGTGATGTCATGTTGTTTCTCATCTTCACTGCTCTTCTTAAGGGAATTGGAAATATATTTCCACCATGCTCAGCTTACTCCCATTGATTTGTATGGAAGCTTGTTTCCGCCACTGAATAAAAAAAAAAAATTATAAAATAATTGCGACTTTTTATCTCACAATTGGGTGATATGAAGTCAGAATTGTGAGAAATAAAGTCGCAATTGTGAGATATAAAGTCAGAATTGCAAGATATAGTCACAATTCTGAGAAAAAAAAGACAGAAGTACGACTTTTTATCTCACAATTGCGAGTTTATATGTCGAAATTCTGACATCTTTTCTCAGAATTGTGAGATATAAACTCGCAATTGGGACTTATCAGGCCAATTCTAAGGGGGAAAAAAGACTAACTTTCCCCCCTCAGAATAGTTTATATCTCGCAATTCTGACATTATATCTTGCAATTGCGACTTTATATCACACAATTGCGACTTTATATCACACAGTTGCGACTTTATATCATGCAATTGCGACTTTATATCACGCAATTGCAACTTCATATCACACAATTGCGACTTTATATCACGCAATTGCGACTTTATATCACGCAATTGCGACTTTATAACACGCAATTTCGACTTTATTACGCAATTGCAACTTTATATCACGCAATTCTGAGTTTATATCTCGCAATTGCGACTTTACATCTTGCAATTCTGACTTTACTTCTCGCAATTCTGAGAAATAAAGAGATCTAAACTCGCAATTGTGAGAAAAAGTCCAAATTGTGAGATAAAAAGTCGCAATTACCTTTTTTATTTTTCATTCTGTGGCGGAAACAAGCTTCCATTGATTTGCCATCCAACTGCTAATGTAACAAATAGTAATAGTAATAGTACAAGAATCAGTGCTGCCATCAGTTTGCACTTTTGTATTTTTACTTCTAGCGATGAAAAACCTTGCAGACAGCACCTTATTATCCATTTTAGATGCTCCACAATCACTTAAAAGGTTTTATCAGCCTTGTTAATGGGCTGAACGAGAGGCACAGATCCTCAGTTCCTGTGAGACGAGGCACTATTTCTGTTCTTTTGAAATTATTATATTAGGCTGAATTTAGTACGATGTAACGTGTTTGCTCTATTCTTTGAGGAAAGGCTCAACATGCCCTTCAAAGATAAAAAAGAAAAAAGTTCTGCTGACATTCAGAACAAGTAGGTGGTGCTGGATTTTTTGAACTGACGCTCGACTTGCATCTGAAGCAGAATATAAGGAATCGTGGAGTTGGTTTAAGTGTTTAGTCAGCACTTCAATGAGTCTATCTGATGAGTTGCTATTGAGTTTAGCTTTGTGCTGGAATAAGCTTATTACTTATTTACACACAAATTTGCTTTGATCTTATTCCAGTGAACACCCAGATCCAAACCTGTGTTTTTAATTCTTATTGAGCACATACAATGTTTTTAACAATGTTCACACTGCTCTTTTTTTTATAGAATGAATTGAACTCCAAAAATAACCATGTTACTTGTGTGCTGTTTTCCAAGTCTCCTGAAACCATATGTTTGTGTAACTGTAATAACGAGACAGAGACAAAGACACTGTATCATTGGAATTATTTTCAGAACAATTTTTTTTTCTAGCTGATGAATGACAACATTGAGAGCCAATCAGATCTAGAGCTTTAAAGCAGCAGACGACAAAACCACATCACGAGCGGATAATATATATTATCGTTCTTGGTGTGAACAGCCCTTTAAAGGGCATATCTACTGCACACACTTATAATAAAAGAACAGTATCGTGCATTTGTGCAGCCACTATATATTATTAATGTGAATGGGCCTTGAGTCTCTTGCTGAAAGCTGACTTTTCACTTTCACATTTGTAAAAATTGTGTTTGGTTACAAGACATACAAGTATGGAAGTTTGTTTCCGCCACTGAATAAAAAAATTAAATAAATAATTGTGACACTTTATCTCACAATTCTGACCTTTTTTCTCACAATTGCGAGTTTATATCTCGCACTTTTGACTATTTCTCAGAATTGCGAGATAAAAAGTCAGAATTGCGTGATATAAAGTCAGAATTGCGAAATATAAAGTCAGAATTGCGAAATATAAAGTCAGAATTGCGTGATATAAAGTCAGAATTGCGTGATATAAAGTCAGAATTGGGTGAAAAAAGACAGAAGTGCGAATTTTATCTCACAATTCTGACTTTTTTTCTCACAATTGCGAGTTTACATCTCACAATTCTGACTTTATAACACATAATTGTGAGTTTATTTGTCGAAATTCTAACATCTTTTCTCAGAATTGTGAGATATAAACTCGCAATTGCGACTTATCAGGCCAATTCTAAGGGAAAAAAAATAACTTTATAGTCTAGTTTATATCTCACAATTCTGACTTTATATCACGCAATTGCGACTATCTAGCAATTCTGACTTTATATCTCACAATTCTGACTTTATATCATGCATTTCTGACTTTATATCACGCAATTGCGACTATCTAGCAATTCTGACTTTATATCTCGCAATTCTGACTTTATATCTCGCAATTGCAACTTTTGCGACTTTATATCACGCAATTCTGACTTTATATCTTGCAATTCTGACTTTCCATCTCGCAATTCTGACTTTATATCTCGCAATTCTGACTTTATATCTCGCAATTCTGACTTTATATCTCGCAATTCTGACTTTATATCTCACAATTCTGACTTTATATCTTGCAATTCTGACTTTCCATCTCGCAATTCTGACTTTCCATCACGCAATTCTGACTTTATATCTTGCAATTCTGACTTTCCATATCGCAATTCTGACTTTCCATCTCGCAATTCTGAGAAATAATGAAGTAAACTCGCAATTGTGAGGAAAAAAGTCAAGAATTGTGAGATAAAAAGTCACAATTACCTTTTATATTTTTCATTCTATGGCGGAAACAAGCTTCCATATGTAAGAACCAATCATTTCATCAATTATTTTTGTGTCAAGAACTAAGGCAAAGAACATGATTTTCAGTGGTTATAATACCTTAAATTTCATTGTTTCTCTTAGAATAAAGCGGAGTCGTCATTGGTCATTTTCACAGCTCGACAGTCCATGGTTTCTGTACTTGTTCATTGTATAGGAAAAGTGTAGCTTTGACATTCTTCTCATTTTGCATTCAATATGGGAAAGAAATCATAATGGTTTTAAACAAAATGAGGGTAAGTATAAATGACAGCATTTTCATTTTTATCCCAACTAATTCCTCAAAAACGTCTCAATCTCTATCAGTGCCTCTCTCATTTTATTAAAGTCCTCAGTGGCGAGATTGAGTTTTATTGCCGTCTCAGCCCTCAGACTTATTAAGAAGAATGGCCTCTTTCTCAAACGCCTAGGCTCAGAGAGCAACTCGCCCTTTAGCACACAAACCCATCTGCTGGGGAGAAAACCGAATCTGGTCTCAACTGAGCATGAAAGGGCATCTAAAAAAATATATAGGAAAAAAAAAACCCAGTCTGATTTCAGTAGACCTGTCAGCTTGGTGAGAAGAGGGTGGTATTTCCAGCTCTCTCCAAAGGTTGAATGGTAAATCAGTAGCCGATATCCCAGCTATCACGGAGGATGTTTGGATGTAAAAAGCAGCATCTCTTGTGAGCTTTTGTTAACTGAACTCCACATTTCACACCCCACGCCTCTCTCCCGCTCAAGCCATATTAAATGGCAGATGACTCCCTACTGCCCCCTGTCTGTGATTCAGAGCACAACAATTAAACTTCTGGCAACAAAGGGAAACGTGAAATATCACTTCAAAATGTGCACAACCACCTATAATCAATGTGTGATCTTTATTAAACGTCCACTTTAATGTTTTTGCATTTGCTTGCACGAGTCATTTTTATGAACACTCTCAATAGGAAACCAAAACAGGAAAGCTCAAACCTCTCAATTCACTAATTTGCATCTCAGAACACACAACATAAATAAATGTAAAAAAAAAATAAAAAAAACATTAACAAGGATATCTGTCGGACCAGAAAGCGTATACACAGGGAAAACAAGCATGGCAGTGAAATGCACAGACAGACGAGACTGAATTACAGAAGGGAGAACATTCTGGAATAGCAAACGTCCCCCAGAATCTTTTACAAAGCAATAGGACAGACGTTTGGCACTCCATACTTGGAGTTCCTCCTGAGAGGAATTATCTTCCTGATTGGACGCTTTTCTGGAACTTGATTAGCTGGAGAAGACGGTTGATGGTCTGACTGATAAATGGACAGAGAGATAATCAGACGAGGAGTTGAAAGTCAAAGAAGTGAGAATATTTTTCTGCATTTTTAATCAGATATAGTACAGATTTTCCAGGGTCAGACAGACAGGATAGGAGAAGCGAGACACGATAGGTTGACAGACACACAGACAGCATTTTCATGTTCAAAACTATCAGATTCGAGCAAACCGAGGTGACAGACAAACGCCAGAAGCGAGGACTGAGATGGCTCTGCTACACATTACAGATGGGTTTCCTACAGCGAGATAAGGCCTAAATGCATTTTCATATATGTGGGAAATTGGCGAATTCTGACCATGGGAATCCGTTGCTACCCTTACCTGAAAATATTGTGAGAAGGTATATCAAGCGAATATACTGGGTCAGCTCTCATCATGCGATTTGAGCAATAACCTAATTTAAAAAAAAAACAAAAAAAAAAACAATGAAGGAGCTATCTGAAGACCTGACCGCTGCTGGGTCACGGACGTCTTCTGCTGTCAGCGAAGTGTTGCGAGCCACCCTGAAAGAAAGAGCTGTAAACGCCGCGTCGGTTACAGCACTGACAGCCTTCGCAGGCCGAGCGTGGTGATTGACATTCATAGAAAGAAAAAAGAAAACGTGGCCGCCGAGCAAAGGCAGAACCGTCCACAGCAGAGCTAAAGAAACAATGAGCTCAAACGACAATGACACGGATTCAAGCGTAGTAGAAAATCAAAGAAAATGAAGAAATAAAGCGGCGAGAAGCTTCACGTATTGCACTGAGTCCCACAATTTTGTATAGATCCAGTTGTGAATGTAGCTTTTGAGATATTTACATACAGTACGAACTCCAGGGATGACGGAATGATTAAAAAAAAAGATCAGCGATTCCAGCCAAAGACAAAAGGGAAAAAAAAAAAAAAAAACAATACGACAATGGTCGGCACTGCTGGAATAAAAAGATGTTGATCAAATAGTGTTCTGCCTATTAAAATCTGATTTTAAAAAAAAACAATCATGGACATTCTTATCTCAGCACCCGGACCGGCTACCAAACATGGCTGGCTGGAACGCTCTCCTCCTCGAGTTTTTCCCCCAGTTTTGAGGGTATAGTTAGCGCCTTCGTGTTGATTCGGATACGTTAAGTCTGGATAAACGATCTCCCAAAGAGTCCTCTGCTCATCCAGCTGTGGTTCTCTGCTTTAGCACAGGTTCCGAGGGTCCACACGGACTAGAGCCCGGTTCTGATGCAACACCGCTCTAGCACAGCTTGAGCTTGAAGGCGGAGATCTCCATTGGCTCCAGATTGATGGAGGAGTCGTTAGAGAGCGGAGGCTGTGAGTGCATTAGAGACAGAGACATGGGCTGCAGGAGCTGGAGATCCAGCCCACGGAACAGCCCGGAAATGGAGAGCTAGGAAGAAAGATCAGGACTTTAAAGAAAATAGCCTTTAACAGACCTACAGTGATGTGAATAAGTGTGGACACCCATGCTAAAGTTGCCTAAAAAGCCATCTTTTGGATATTGATCTTAATGCCTTAATTAGAAAAATGAGGAAAACTCCAACCTTTAAGGACACAAATTTTCTTTGTGAATGAATAAGGTATCATAAATAAATAAATGTTTTTCTTTAAAATACAGGGTGCATAAGTATGTTAAATTCCCATAGAGTCAAGCAGATTTTTATTGTTAAAAGCCAGTTATTTCATGGATCCAGGATAATATGCATCCTGATAAAGTTCCTTTGGCCTTTCACCTTCCACCACACCTAGAGATTGGCATGGGGTACGTTCCATAAGATCATCTTTCAACGCAAATCAAACCAGCTATTAGGCTAACTGAAGTAAAACCATGCCAATCTCTAGGTGTGGTGAATGGTGTGTGATGATGTGGGGATATTTTAATTCCAAAGGCCAAGGGAACTTTATCAGGATGCATAAAATCCATGAAATAACTGGCTTTTTAAAAAAAAAAAAAAATCTGCCTGACTCTATGAGAATTTAACATATGGGTGCCCTGACTTATGCACCCTGTATTTTAAGGAAAAACATTTATTTATTTATGATACATTATTCATTCACAAAGAAAATCTGTGTCCTTAAAGGTTGGAGTTTTCCTCATTTTTCTAATTAAGGCATTAAGATCAATATCCAAAAGATGATTTTTTATTCCTCTTTTTAGGCAACTTTAGCATGGGTGTCCAAACTTATTCACATCACTGTACATGCATCCACACACTATGTATATTTACTGTATGTGTGTGTGCTCATTTTCTTTTTAGGTAAACCATTTTTCTCTTTAAGGACACTGACCTGGCCTTGTGTGGTGGAGCAGTTGAAACCAGGGTTCTGGGCCTCCAGACCACAGTCCAAGCCCAGTCGATGGAGGAGCAGAGCCGTATGAAGAGATGGAGAGTGAGCGTCCTGCTGAAAAAAAAAAAATAAAACGATTTGAAATCAATGTTGATTAAAATAATCAAGAAAACCACCAGACCACAAGATCTCAAACACTTATTTTCTCGTTCTCATTACGCAAGTCATAAGTCCTCATCAGGTGAAATCAATACAGGCACATTTTTGTTTTTCAGGACTCGTTTACCGGGCTTTGGATGCTCCTGAGGTTCAGCAGGTGGAAGTCGCAGGGCACGGTGCCAGCCAATGGAGCGAAGGTACGCATGGGTGGCACACCATGTTTCCTGGGCAACACAGGCAGTGCCAGCACCTCATGGTTCAGGATGGTGGAGGTCATGTGACTGAGCAGCGACGGGAAGCTGACCGGTCTGCTGTCCACCGGCTGGAAGACACAGACATGCATCAGGAAACACACAAGTAAAACAACCTGATGAAAGTGCATTCACCTCACCTTCACATGACATACCGTAACCGCAAAAAGAATTGGGGTCACTGTATGAGATCAGATTCTCAATATCCTCTATATACTACTGATCTTCTGCCTGTTACACCATCCACCTTATTTTGCAACGCAAAAGCGGGCTATTTTCTTTGAATGTGTGAGACTTCCGATTCATTAGCCACTATAGGTACTTAACTAGAAGAATGCTGTAATTATAGATCTATAAATATACATACCAGTGTTCATGATTATGATAATGAATTCAAGCAGCATAACTGTTTTTCTACAAAGCAAATCACTCCAGAAGCTAAAGCACCAGTCTTACGTTATAAAATAAGGTGAATAAAAGGTTTGGGGGCTCAGCTACAGAGGTAGAGATAGGAGACAGGCAACGACCTTTGGCCTCTTAATCCAGGTGGAAACCTGTCGCTTGTTGCTATGGTAACAAGCTGAACTAGGGCTCTCGAAACTGCTACGCAGCACTATGACTCTCCACCGCTGCAGTAGTTACCTCTTTCTGGTCGTCTCCTAAAATACCTGCAATGATTTTGTTTATCATGTTGGAGACTTTGGCATAGGAGCCAGCAGGCTGCATGCATGAGGGGAGAAAGACATGATAATAAGTGATAGACAGACAGGATTAAAAAACAAAAAGAGGTTGTGAAATGAATGAGGAGGGTTGTGATGAGCTTTGCCCCTATATTATCATCCAATATCACTATATTATTTATAATCTTTTAGGCGATATCATGATTTGAATGAAAAAGTATAGCCTATTATTCAAATCAATTCGAGTCGGCGTGTAAAAACTCTAAAGCCCATTAACTATTATTACACACTTGGCAGCTTTTAGACACTAGTCTCAGAACCATAGTGTCCCCCAGGAGCCTTCACAAAGCTCTCATGAGTAACGATAGAGCGCCCCCTACAGGCCACAGAGTGACAGAGGTTATATACATCTCACACTGATACAGGACACCCATATTTTGGTATGCATAACAGTGTCTCTCTCGTGAAGCCGAAATTGCTGGCTCCCAATCAGATTAATCATCTGCTACCCGACTTGTGCCAGTCAGAGTGCACAGGTTTTTATCAGTCAGCCAGGAAATAAAACTGTATTAAAAAGGTATTAGGCTGCACTTCTGAGAAATTAAGGGCTCTTTCACACCTACAGTGTTTAGTCCGGACTTTCAGACTTTTCAGTTTGGTCCGAATCAAAATTACAGGTGTGAGACCACGGTCCGAACCAAACATGAAATTTGGTCCGACCAAAAGAGGTAGTCTCGGTCCGGATCAAACTGAAAAAAGGTTTGGTTCGTTTCTAGTGTGAAAGCATTTCTGTGGTTCGGACTTTCAGACCTTTCACAGGAAGTTCTGGTGGTTCCCAAAAAGGTGGCAGGAGAAATGAGCCGAGTTTTTTAACTGAAGTATGGTCTGATGACATAAGAAGTCAACTTGCAGTCTTCTTTCCTGCCGGCGACGATAAAATGTTCGCACGACGAGGACGTTCATTTGGCGAATTTGAACTAGCCTTGTGTATAGTTGGTGATGCAGGTAATTATGCCATAAAAATAGCAATATAGTTGCAACGATATGCTTTTGTTCATTCATGTTGTCAAAGTTACCCGCCGAATTGACAACGCGCAGATGTCCATTTACTAAACCAATCAATGTCAAGATGAAGCCCACAGATGATGACGACAGGACGCAAGTATACCGAGTAAAGCTCTTTAGTACGCTCGCATAATTGCAGTGTGAAACCAAACCAAAACTTTCTGAAAGTATAAAATGCATCAAAACTGATGATCAAAACTTTGGTTCGGACCTTGGTGCGGACTTTCAGGTGTGAAAACGCCCTAAGACGTTTAAGTAATTTTGTTTAAGGGCCCCCAGTATGTAAACTTTGTTCAGATTTGTTTTAACCCTAAAACCGTGTTCTGGACAAATGTGGGCAAAATAGTTTTGATTTATTTTTAAACAATACTTCCCTTGATCTGAGCGGTACAAGACTTGGCTACTTTTCCTAAGTTTGCCTCCTGAACACACACAAAAAAATTTTTTGACTCAATTTTACAATGTTAAGTGGGTGAAAAAAAAAACTTCTTAATCTTGTATTTGGGTCAAAAATGGGCACCCATAGAAATGAATGGGAAAAACTGTAATTGAGCATTCTAAAATAAGCCAAAATAAGACACCAGGTGACAGCAAAGTCACTTCATCTTTAGGTTTTAGCTCTAAGAACTTATTGGAATGATATTTTAATGTAGTTTAAAAAAACACAAAAATAAAACTACATAGTAATTAATTTACATAGAAAATATGGTACTTTTTGAAGTAAATAAATTCAAAAATACCCCCAAAATAATAAAAAAACACCATAAATGGATAGACAAAACTTTATCGAAGACAGTGATGTAATATTTATAATAAATAAAAATTAGGATCACACCTGAGTCCTCTGTGCCCACAGTTGTCCACAATTACAGGATTAAGGGCTATAAAGTGAATACGGATTGAGGGCTACTCTATAGATTTATTATTATTATTATTATTATAATATGGGAAAAAATGATAAAAACAGAAATAAGACATGCCTCTACCCACAAAAATATTTCATACTTTAAAAGAAGATCTTTTCATTTTAACTTGTTTTAATTGAATTTCTATTTTGTGATAGGCTGCTTTCCATGTCTGTCAGGCAACCTCTTCCCCTAAGTAGGTGGGAATAAGCGTGTACAAACCTAAAGTCTGGGGAAGAACTAGTCATGGACTAGTCATTCAGTTTTTGAATGTCATTTTAAATTATAATGATTAAAGATTATTATTACAGAAGTATCTTAAAGGTACTGTACGTAATTTTTTTGACTGAACTAAAGCACAAAAATACCATAACATGTTTCCTAAATCTCAGCAAACATATTAAGTTCACATACTTGTTTCTCCAAAAAAAAAAAACAATGCTACAGCCAGTTATTCTAATTTGAAATGTGCGTTTTGTGTCGGAATGTCTAATTGTTTTGATCTCTAATCCCGCCCACTGCCAATTTACCCAACAGTATTTCAAAACCCTGGGTTGCCATTTGACAGAAAAGTCCATTTGATGCCCAGGAAATGAACCAAGTCAGAGATCGAATATTACTAAAACTAAAAGCCCCGGCATCCAGCTAAAAAGCTCTATGTCCAGAGGCATATTAAAACTCAGCTAAATCGACTCATCAACTTACAGTATAACGCTCGTCAACTTTTATTGTCAATTGCGCTCGTTAACCCGCATGAGCAATGAGTCTAATGAGGGGGTGGGAGAAACACTCTCTCTGGCTAGTCTAGCTCTCAATATTACATTCTGCACCTTTAAATGTAATTTTAATTTGTGGGATTAGATTAGTACATGCTTTTTCTGACCAAGAGCCGCCAACTGATTGATTTATAAATCAACCAAAGTTTGAGTTTGACTGGTTTAGTTCATGTACGTGTGCAATCAGAACTCACATCTTCACTGCTGCTCCTCTTCTCCAGCAGAAGGCGGAAGCGGTTGGCCGTTCGTTTGTTGTCCTTCAGGCCCTGCCCTAGACCCCTGTTATCATCTTGCATCAGTCTGCGGTCTAGGATCACCTCCAGCTGACCTGTAGAAGATGGAAAGAGCATAAGACGGAAAGATGAAGAGGTAGAGGGGGATAATAGGATAGAGGGAGGCAAAGCATTAGACGGTACACTCACTTCATCTTCATTATTGGATACATTGCATCAAATCAATATAGAACCTGAGCGCTGTCCCACTGTTAGTGTTTTCCACCTCCCTGCCGTCTCAGTCCCTAATTCATGTTCCATTCTGCTAAGAACTCACCGCTACGGACCTGAAAAGTACCGGTACTTTGCTACTAAGTCGATACTCGATTGAAAACAGCGTAATGAGGCAAGTTTTTCAACAGCATTGGCAGCTCGATTTGGTACACGGGTATAAACAAGTTTGAATCCTGCGATGCCAAAGAACATGATTCATATTCATGCTCAACACATGAATATCAATTATTAGGAAACGTTTGTTGCTTAGTAAGCATCATAACCTAATTAATATTAATTAGCCAATTAAAATGTTAGGCTACATTCTGTCATTTTAAAGTTTATGTAAATATCCAATTAAAGTGTGTTTAATTAGTTTTTGTATTTCAAAAGAAAAATGTGTATTTCAAAAATATAACAAATATGGTACCTTTAAGGGCTTGATAAACACAGATATGTATATAGCCTATAATATATACTTTTTTCAATTGTAGTCTTTTATTTAAAAAGGCATCTGATATAATAAACTAAATGCAATGTGATTTTGTCAAAAATATAGATTTTTCTGATACTGAAATATCTTCCAATACTCATTTTCCGCAGAACAGATTCTTGCTCACTCTCTCTCATCTTTCCGACAGCGAGTGACACACAAACCCTCCTCTCCTCACTCACTCACTTTATTTGCTCCGGATGAACATTGTTGCCGTTACAGGGCTTAAATTTCGCTGTAGGATTGCACGTATTGCGCATAATTTTAATAATTTCTCAGATTTGTCCACGTACTGTCTCTCAGTACTAAGTTGAATTATTTTTGCTGCTTATTGCGCTTAAACAGTCAAATACACACAAAATGTCAAAATGCAGATCTTGGTGAGTATAGATAGATAGATAGATAGATAGATAGATAGATAGATAGATAGATAGATAGATAGATAGATAGATAGATAGATAGATAGATAGATAGATAGATAGATAGATAGATAGATAGATAGATAGATAGATAGATAGATAGATAGGTCTCAATGTCAAATTTGTGGCCAGTGAAAATACTGAGTGTCAAGTAACTTTGGGTGTACAAATGTTAATGTCAAGGCCTGGTACTGATATCACTGATGATCAGTATATACGTTTGGATCAAAGTAGTCACGTAACCTAATTAATATTGTAATATACCAACAAAATGATAAATAAAAGTTTATCAAAAAACCTATACCAATGGACAATAAGCAGTATGGTAACGATATATATTGTGCAGGAAGTGTCACTGATTTGGCATGGACCATTGTAACATCAGTATTTGCAAACCCCCACTCACCGCTGGACACGCTGCTGACCCCGAGTGCCTGGGCCGTGTGGAGCGTGAGTCGGTACTGGCTGTCCTGAATATATGCCGTGGTGGGCATGGGGTAGAAATTAGCTTGCAGTGGAAGTTTCTGGAAGTACCGACGAGGCTGCATCTGAAGAGGAGGGAAATGGTGGAGCATTAGCTTGATTATCTGGTAGAGTAATCTGGGTCGAGGCCTATGAACTTTTGCTCCATGATGCTAGATTTCATTATTTTAAAGACTCAAAAGAAGTATGATGTGCCACATCTATTTGAACCTGATAGATTAAAAGCTTGTAGACGTGCACTTCACCTGGAAGCCGTTGAGGTCTGTGTAGAAAGTGTCTTTGCTCTGGATGTCGGTAACCAGCCGCATGGCCAGCTCCTTGTTATTTTGATCTCTGATGTCCACCATGGTGGTGATGTCCAGAGAAAGACCATCAACTCCTGAATGACAGAGACAAAGTGTGATATGTCAGGAATAAATGAACGTCCTCACACGATCGAACTTGTGTGCCGAACATGACGCCTGAAGGATGGATGGAGTACCTGGAACATTATGAATGCGGACCGTCTGCTGGAAGTGCTGATAATGTGCCACAACCTCAGAGAAGAGAGGACCTTCCACCACACGCACTATAGGGGCTTCTCTCTGCGAATAGGGCTGAGAACGAGCGGAAAGGAAGGTGTTAATTCACCCCACGTTGTTTAATAAATGGCTTTTCACCCCAGTCAAGACTACAGGGAGACTACCTTGGCATTTCCGTCTGGCAGGAAGAGATAGGCCCCGCTCTTGTCCTTGGAGGGTCGAGTTCCGTATGTGAGGAACTGAATCTGTACCCTCACCTCCTGGGGATCGTCTTTACGTCGAATGCTCTGATGGAGAAAAGAGAGAGAATTAATTATTTTAGACTTGCAGATATGCTGACTCAGATTCGAAAAAAGGATATGACAGCAAATGTACTACAAAAATAGGACAGTGATGCGTTTCATTTAATTTGGCAACCAATAAAAATAAAAACACTCGTCCTGATGACTGGACATAAAAATAGACTGCTGATGTCATAGCTTGGAAAACTTCCTTTTTTATTACAGTTTTTCTCCATTGGTTTGGCTCATTTCTTGAAACAGAAATTACATTCTCAAAACAACAAGGACAAACCTCCAAAGCACTTGGCAATTGTTCACAACAGAATTGAATTTCTCATTCATTTCATCAAACTGCAGATGTCCAAGTACATGTCTCAATATCTTATTGATCCAGACTGATTGTTGATTCTCAGTTTGATGGTTGTTCGCTCCAAAACTTGTCAGCGTCATTTCGTTGTTTAAGTCATCACATACACATTAGTATGTTCAATTGTCAAAATTAGTCAAGGACATATTATGAGGACAGCGACCAGTGAAGAACTGTATATTTACAGTATATTATGCTGTGTACATTTTCTTTTTACTCTGATTTATGGAAGTTACTTTATGTGTGTGAATGATAATGGTTACAATTTCCTTGGCAGTGTGTGCGATGTCAAACATTGGAGGCTACTCTTACCCTAAAATCCTATTTCTTTTTTTTCTTTTTTTAGTTTTATACAGAATTGTATTCTGTTAGCTAGACAAAAAAATAGTGTAGTAACCATTGTCAATGAAGGACTGGGCTAAGACTGAAAAGCAGTCTTGAAGGATATTTCAATGGTCCTCTGCCAGACTGACAAAACATCTAAACATTTGGACTTGCAGTGCTCACACAATGCCAAAAAGACCGAGCATTTTTCGGGACTTAAATAAGAAGGAAATTTAGTTTTGAAGCATGAGTGAGCTGTTTTGGGAGAGGTGAAAGCTTTTGCAGGTGAACCATGATGATGTGCTGAACTGTAAAACTGTTTTGCCAAATGGTCTTATAATTTCTGTTTCAAGAAATGAGCCAAACCAATGGAGAAAAACTGTAACATGCAAAATTTGCTCAGTAGAGTTGATTTTCAGCATTTTTCCAGGGCATTTTTTTTCCCTTTCCTTTCAAATATTTTTTAGTAATGCACAGATATTACAATTATGGCTAATACCAACAAGCTGATAATTATCGTTAAATGTATTATTATAATTCATATTATGGCCGATGTTAAAATTCAGTACCATTATACAGTATGAAAAATAGATATTCATTGTGAGATATGCTAAAAATGACATTTAACAGCATTTAACATGAAACGAGCATGCACAATTAAATATCCAATACTAGCTGATATACACACCATATATTGTAGAATGATGTCAATAAATGAAAAATCTCTAATATTGGCTGATAACTGATAAATAGCCAATATCAAAATACTATTTTGCCAAAATAAATATATAGTTTTAAATGCGTAGGGCTGTCAAACGATTAATCGCATCCAAAATAAAAGTTTGTGTTTACATAATATATGTGGGTGCACTGTTTTGTGTATATATATATATATATTTAAGAAAAAATATATTATTTATATATAAAATATTTATATTTATATATAATATAAATTATATATATAAATCTATATACAGTATATAAATTAAAATATTTCTTAAATAAATATACAAGCATGTGTATTTATATATATAAAAAACACAAACTTTTATTTTGGATGTGATTAATCGCGATTAATCGTTTGACAGCCCTAGCAACAAGTGAATTTAGGCATCACAACATTATAAATGAAGAGTATAAAAAAAGATGTTCATTGTTAGATTTGACAAAAATATGGGAAATGAGTATATGCAAATATATAATGTCAGCTATTAGGCTGATGTCGAATTAAACATTTATAATATTGAGAGGTTAAACACTATATTGGACAGCCCTGTTTTTTCTTGAATTCACACATACATACATATATATATATATATATATATATATATATATTATTTTGCATTTTACCCTCAGCCCTGGTTCATTTCTCCCTTTACTTCCTGTAATTTAAAAACAAAGATAATGCATAAAAAATATAATCTCACCTCCAACAGGCCAGTGGTTCCAGAGAAGCCTAGCGTGAGAGACTGGCTCTGGATGTAGAACGGTTGGGCGTCTACCGTTTGCGATCGCACGGGCAGAGGGTCCAAACCACGTATGCTCTGACCCCGTCCTGGTATCCTGAGCAGCGTATCAGAGCGCAGGGTCATGGGCGAGTCAGCAGAGTCGTACAGGTGGAAGACGGCCAATCCCAGAGCGGGGAGGCGTGCCATGAAAGAGGCCTGGAGGAAGAAACAAGCATGTAGGTTTTAAGACTACATTCATCGAAGATGCTTCCAAGGAAAATAGACACAACTGGACACACCTGGTAAACCTCTCCACTCATCTCAACGGCGGACATCCACTGCGCGCTGAGTTGAACCGGTAGAGTTTGTCCGTCTTCTGTCAGCACCCTCACTCTCGCCGAATTCACCAGAACGGTGACCACACACAGACGCTCCTGCTCGACGGGGTTAAACAGCACTAGATACCTGAGGAAGAGCAAGACGATGAATATCATAGAACCGCATTTGAGGCATTCAAGATCTGTGGATGACGCATCTCACCTGGGAGAAGATTCCAGCTCGATAAGTGTGCGCTGCGGGAGAGAATCCTGTGTGGCGCGCCTATCGTCCTACAGTCACATGGACAGAGGTCAAAGGTCAGACTCTTAAACACACGGGCTGATTTTAGAAAAACCAACGCTGCTCCTCACCGTCTCTAGGAAAGGCTCCGTCTGGTAGAAGCGGTAAATGTCTTTATTCTTTATTACCAGGAAGTGTGCGGCATTCATGATTACTCGTTTCAGACCGACCAGAGAACGTAACAGCCTGCAGGAGGGAAAAGAAACAAATCAAGAACCGCTTACAAACCTAAAATTGGCCCATCAAAGATGATATTTCACAAATACCACCCTGAGAGACTTCCTTCGATCTTTCAATTAGTTAATAAGGGATCAATTCTGCAAGTTTTTATCCAGAGACCTGTTTCCATAGTCGATGACAACCGCCTCCTTGGCAGTGCCCGTGATGGCATCATGGTGCTGGAACAGCCCTATGTTGCGCCTGGCATCGGTCAGGAGGGAGTAATCTGAAATGGGGTAACGCCCTTCTATGCCCGCACGTCTCGCGTGAGCCACCGCCAGACTGTAGAGAATTTCTGCCCCTCTACAGGAAACACAAAACCAAACAAACATTCAGTTTGCAAATGTAATGATGCATGACACTGAACGAAACAGCAACACTAGACAGGCAGAAAAAACAATGATAATAGAATTGAAAAAACGAGTAATGACAGTAATTAGGCAATGCCTCGTGCTTAATTTTGGAGAAAAACTTTCACCCACATGGAGAATCACCGTTTTAATTATTCCCCAGTAATACTGCAGAGAACAGGCCATTATTCAAAGCATAATTGAATCTCTGGCAAATAAAAACAGACACTTTCCAAAGTTGCTAAAATAATGGATTTAATGCAGATACCCTGATGGCAGTTTGTCAGTGGAAATTTTAATTTGTTGCCAATTAAAAATTAAAAGGCTTCCACAAAACCTTGTTAGCAAAAATGTTTGACTGAAAGCTACTTGTTGAATTGTCAACTATGTGTTAAATGACAGCTTTGTGCAAAAATGCTCTTCAATCCCAGCTTAATTTGCATGAATGAACCATTTGTAGTTTGATTTCGGTGAAAATTGTAACTAAACGTTGTGCACTATGCACCGATTAAAATTACATTGTAATACAAGGATAAATACATAGTTATTTTCATGTTATAGTCAAAAAAAATAAATAAATAGCTGCTGTGAATACATTTAAATAAAACACTAATAATTTTAAAAGTGAATTTAGCCATTAGATTGTCAGGTTACAGGGTTGTTAAATTATTAGTGTTTAAAGATTAATAAGTGGCTTTAGAAGACTATTTTTTTAAATAAATGCTTTAAATAAAACACTAAAAATGAATATAATCATTTTAAACGCTACAACGTGAATTTAGGCATCACAATATTATAATGTACATTTAAAATGATATTAATATAGAATTTGGTAAATATTACATTTAACAGTATAATAAAATCATTCGTTTTTTAATAGATTGATTAACCCTCTGATGGTCTTCCTTTATGAGTCACGTCCTGCGCCTTCCCGGTGCAAAAACTTCTTCCATCCCAGTAAAACCAATGCAATTTATTTTTGTTCTATAATATTTATTCTTTTTAATTTAATATTTGGACAATTTGATTGAATTTATTAATATTTATGGTCTATTTTTTCCAATAGAAATATATATATATATAAGTTGAGAAACTTATATATAGTTTCCTTTTAAACAAAAATACTGCATTAATATATTTTTTTAAACAATATATATATATATATATATATATATATATATATATATTGTTTAAAAAAATATATTAATGCAGTATTTTTGTTTAATATAGAGTCTAGGCCTTCATAAAAAAAATATATTTTTTGAAGAAAATTAGCACCATCTGGTTACAGTATAGAGAAAAAGCGTAGAATCATGGTGTAACCACTAGATGGCATGTACAGCTCTCTATGGAGAGGCATGTGAATTCCCCAGCTGTTTATGAACACATTTTTTTTTTTTTTTTTTTGTGGTGGATTTGAATATATAATTGAAACAATCTCAAAAACTATTTCTTATTAAAAATTGTAAAAAACAAATAAAGAAAAAAGTTGTGAATTTTTGTGTTTTTGTCAATTTCCCATTCATTTCCTATGGGGGTCATTTTTGACCAAAGACCAAAATCGCAACTAATTTTTTTTACGACCACTTGATCATGACCTCAATTTTTTTTTTATTCACATACCAAATGCCAAAAAAAGTCACCAAGTATCATAACCTTACAATGAAGCTGTGATTTTTAATAATTCAAAACAGAAAATTATTCGGTCAGAAGTGACCGAGGACCATCAGAGGGTTAACTTTATTTTTATTTTTATTAATTGGCCAATAGAAGATCGTCTGGTCTGATGAATCTCGATTCAAGACGTTTCAGAATTTGGCGTAAACAGCATGAAGTACAGTATGTATTCATCCTGCCTTGTATCAGCGGTTCAGGCTGCTGTTCGTATAATGGGGTACTTTCTTTTTCTATTGCCCCTTAGTACCAAGTAGGCATTGTTTAAACGCCACAGCCTACTGCAGTATTGTTGCTGAACATGTCAATCCCTTTATGAGCACAGTGTACACATCTCCTGATGGCACGCATCCCTGGCTACATTCATTTCTTGAGGAATTAGACATAAGTTGGATGTTTCTCTGACTAACCGTAGGTGAGACTCTAGCACACGGTCCAGGTTTTTGTAGAAGGGACGTGAGGTGTAGTATCCACTCCAGTAATGGTCCTCTCTATCTGCATAGGCGAAGAAGTCTCCACTCAGCACAGGGTAATTCGGTGGTCTCGTCCCCTGGGCAACTCCATTAGCCTTGTACACCGCATGAAAGTAGTCTGTCAGCGTTGCAAACTGGGCCTGAGAACACAGAGATTTGCTTATAGGGCATTTCCAATTAATTCTGCATTTTCTTAAATCAAAAGCATCTTCACTCACAACCAAGTTAAATTATTCATTTCAATTAGCAATGCTGAGGTAAAAGAGCTGTGTTGTTTTTTTAACAACATTTTTGACATAATTAAAGAATCCTCCTGACAAACATGCAGGCAGTTTTTGTAGTTTTGTATTGATAGAGCGGTCAGATCCTACACATACCTTTACATGCATTTCTGGGTGGGAGTTCATGTAATCGAACAGTTTCTGGTAGTTTAAGTACTGCTGGTCCCACTCTACTGCTTTGTCATAGCGGAAGTCGTCCCCCAGAGGAACCAGCAACACTTTACTACGGAACAGCTTAGATTTTTTACGGTATTGATCAAGCAGAACCCCAGCTCTGAAACAGAAAATGTCAAATATAAAGTAAATCCACTGGACTGTTGTTGTTTTTTTATTAAGGCTGTCAATCGATTAAAACAATTTAAGCGTTAAATAGACTAAAATCAATAACAAGTTTGGGCTCAGCAGATTTTTAAATAAAGAAATGTATACTTTTATTCAGCAAGGATGCATTAAATTGATCAAAAGTGACAGTAAAGAAATGTAACAAAAAATATATGTAAAATAATGTAACAAAATTCAATTTCAAAGAAATGATGTTCTAATGAAGATGAATTTAAAAAATGTATCACGGTTTACACAAAAATATTAAGCAGCACAACTTTTTTCACCATTGATAATAATTAGAAAAGTATTAGAATGATTTATGAAGGATCATGTGACACTGAAGACTGGAGTATTGATGCTGAAAATACAGGTTTGCGTTTAAAATTTCAATTTCAATCAACTAATTTTAAGAGCTAATGTGAAATATTATAACAATTTAAAGTATTACTGTTTTTATTGTATTTTAGATCAAATAATTGCAGCCTTAGATGAACAAAAGACTTTTTTATTATTTCACTTATATATATATATATATATTTTTTTTTTATTTTTTTTTTTATTGTAAATACATGACTATATATTTATTTAGGGGGCATAATTAATTGTGTTCATTTAATACATTTTTAGAAATGCAAGATACTAATTTCAAATAAAAATTAATAGTTTTATTAAAGTTTTAAAGTACTCATTTTAATAATTTATCTTCATTATATTATTTTAATTGTGTATAAATGAATATCAAGTGAACGAATGTGTTTAAATTCCCTAGTTTCCATCTTAGCCGTTACATTTGTAGGCATGCTGAAAGCAATTCAACATGTTTGAACATTTGGGAGGAAATGACTCATGAAGCTAAAAGTGTCCTCATAAAACCCTTTGCCTATTTCAGTAAACCTCAAAGACCTCTGAAGTGTAAGGACAGGTGCAAATTAATTGCTACAAGCTTGTTAATATCCGGGTTTTCTTCTATGTAGCTAAAGAGAGAGAGAGAGATGGATTTGGGTTTGAGCCCAGTTCAAGCACATCCCATATAAATACAGCTGGCGTCAGCTTGGTGATGGACAAATGAATTTTGTTAGCTAACACAGGAAATTAACCTACATTCATTCTTTGGCTAAACCCCCTCGAATTACATTAATCTCCTGGTTTCGTATTAATCAGCCCTCCAGCCAGCCTCACCTCTCGGCCACGTTGGCATCTGAGATGGCTCGGGGCGGCACCTTCCAGGGGCAGTTGACGCGACTGCCCGGCAGCCTCTTGAAATCAAACTGACAGCAAATCTTCGGGTCTGGGCCACACGTGTGCGGCACGTCGTAGCTGTAAAACGGCATCATGTGGCAGAACATGTCTGTGCTCGATTCAATATCTGTAGATAAAAAATAAAAAAATAAAAAATCTGAGATGGCTTGGCAAGACTCGTTTGGCAAAGCTTTCATAAATGGCTGCCAAGGGTTTGTGTTTTCCTAAAACTTCATTAGACATTTCCAACATGTAGAAAATGATTACAAATGCTATATTCTGATCTATTACAGTTATTAACTAAATTTTAACATTTAACCGGTTCAATGTGACCCTCGACGAGTGGGATTCGAACTGGCGTTCTTCGGCGGGGACATTAACAAAGGACACTAAAGACTGCAATCTCTAGTGTCAATCGCTAATGTGCCTCTTGAGCCCAGGGGAGTGAGGTTCACACGCTCAGCTTTTTACTAGCTGGCCTCCGTTACACTTGCTCATGCAAAACACACTGCCACCCCAAAATCTCTATGATATGTTGTTAAAGGAGAACTCCGGCGCAAAATGAACCTTTGGTCTAATAAAACATCGGTACCTAGTCAACCATTCTCTGAGATTTGTTTTCATGATAATCGAATGTAAAGAGTTTTGTCTCTAAAAAGTGTTTAGCGTATAATGCTAGTAATGGGGGCATTTACTAAGTAAAAAGAAATCGCTAGTTTATACCACTAACAAGGCTCAAAATAGCCCCACACTAACACAGTAACATAATGAGGGTCCATACATGCAAAACGAATCATTGAGAACTTTGTAAGTGTACAGACCGATTAATAAGAAGAAACTTTATAAAGACAGTTCACTTCGTGTACACAGACAGGAGCCATCTTTGAGAATAGTCTCGATAAGTCGATCCCCGAATGCCATTCATACAGTTCAGAAGTTCACTGAACTTCATATAGTTCAGATCACTCAGCACGTTGTTCGTGGTTTGACTTGACGTGACTGTTGGGGCTATTTTGAGCCTTGTTAGGGTATAAACTAGCGACTAGCACTAGTTAGTGGTATAAACTAGCGATTTCTTTTTACTTATTATATGCCCCCATATACTAGCATTATACGCTAAACAGTTTTTAGAGATAAAACTCTTTACATTCGATTATCATGAAAACAAATCTCAGAGAACGGTTGACTAGGTACCGATGTTTTACTAGACCAAAGGTTCATTTTGCGCCAGAGTTCTCCGTAACTAAAACTATTACAATTGTTTTTGTTAATTGAAAAAAAATAATAATTACTTAATAAATAAATAAATAATATATATATATATATATATATATTTAAATACAGCCTTGCCAACTAACCGAAATAAAAAAAAAGTTGAAGTAGTACTAAAATACTAGAGCTAAATAAAAATATTTTAAAATAAAACAAAAACTAATAAAAATGACAAAAGCATAACAAAATTAATTACTACAATAAAATAAAATTTAAATAGAATCTGAAAATAAAAATATAAAAAAATTACAGTATATAAATAATACTAAATAACACTGCTTATAAAGTAACTTCATGCATTTTATCTGTCTTAAAGGGATACTCCACTTTTTTTGGAAATAGGCTCATTTTACCACTCCCCCAGAGTTAAACAGTTGGGTTTTACCGTTTTCGAATCCATTCAGCCGATTTTCTGATATTTAGAAGAATATCAGTATACAGACAGTTTCTGGTCTCATTGACTTCCATAGTATATTTTTTTTTCCTACTATGGAAGTCAATGAGACCAGAAACTGTCTGGTTACAGATATTCTTCTAAATATCAGAAAATCGGCTCAATGGATTCAAAAACGGTAAAACTCAACTGTTTAACTCTGGGGGAGTGGTAAAATGAGCCTTTTTCTCAAAAAAAAGTGCAGTATCCCTTTAATTTGAAACCGTGTGGATTTAAATGTGAATGCATGTTTTTATATTTGTAGTCATTTACCCCAGGCCTGCCTCCACATGAACTCAAGGCTCTGAGTGGCAGAAAAGTGCTTTTTGATGGAGTAATGGACCCTCTGGATCAGCATGCTGGTCATGTTCGCCCGTTTCAGTAGGTAAGGCATCGTGGCGCTGTGCCCGAACGGATCAACGGCCCAGCCTGAACGAGGGGTCACACCTGCAGTAACACGCCGATTAAATATTACACTTTTAGGATCAAGCCTGCATCTCCCATATCAAGAAAATATGCAGATACGGTAACCACTAACCCACACCACCCCACAAAATAACCATACCCAGATTTTTCTCCAGCCACTGATGGCCTTCAATGAGCTGATCGATCATGGCGAAATAGTGAGCGTTGGCTTCATCCGTCATGACCCAGCCTCCTGTCACCATCTCAAGCTGTCCGCTGAGGATCAGCCTGAAAGAAAAACGGGTTTAAAGAGGATTCTTCAAACTGAAAGCACAGATCGCAAGATGAGGTGAGGAAATCCACAACATTAGATCAGGCTATATAAGGAGCATCTCATTTGGACTAATTAACCTTCAGCAGATTACCGAGTTAAGAAGATGAACTGATCAAGAATGGGCATGTGGGACTGAATCAAGACACTTACGTGTAAACAAGAGTGCTGATTGGATTGAAACTGAACTGAAGAATGGTCCGTTCATGACAGGTTCGCTACCGTTTTTTAATGTTTTTGAAAGTATTTTATGCTCACCAAGGAAAATGCAGTGAATTTTAAAAACTTGTTTTCTATTTGAATACATTTTAAAAATGCAATTTATTCCTTTGATGGAAAATCTGAATTTTCAGCAGCAAAATTTACTCACTTGCGCATTGCCTCTTGTTTTTGTGCATCTGCGCTTTCCCACCATTTGGCGAAAAATGATATTTCTGACCAAATGAACTTCCGACGAGGATCTTCCGCCAGCTTCACCAACATGTTGTTGAAGATATGCTGGGTCTGGTCATTGTAGTACTTGTCGAATGTTTTGATCCATCCTGTCGCAAAAGAAGTGCAGCATGAAATCATCATCCAAGGAGAACACACAGATCTGATGTATGAAGTCACACAATGAAGTGACAACAGAATCTGTGCTAAAAACAACTGTTCTTTTGATAAAACACTAAAAAGTTTAGAAGAAGCATAGCCTTTTGGCAGCACTTTGTTCTCCAAAGAACAATGTGTTCGAAATAACATAACACCGTCTGTTCGAAATTCAGAGGCACTGTTGATCTTTGTGTCAGCGCAGGAAGAACAGATCCGTGCTGACCCTGAGAACGCCAGACTGACATTTAAGGTTCCCGGAAAGCTGACTGAAACATAAAAAGAAATTTAGGTTTTTGATGAAAACATTCCAGGATTTTTCTCCATATAATGGACTTTATTGTGAACCAAACGGTTCAAGGTCCAAAAGACAGTTTCAGTGCAAACTGCAAATTGTTCGAAGGGCTTTAAACGATTCCAGACGATAATAAGGGTCTTATCAAGCGAAACGATCGCTCATTTAAAACAAAAAATGACAAAGATTACGTTTTATAAGCTCAAATGTGTTCTGTGATGCGCGTTCGTGACTCTCCTGTTCGAACTCGTTCATCAAAATGAACAATTTTTTTTTCCGAGTTATTTGGTTCACTCAACGAACAAAATGAACAAATTGACTCGGGAAAAGATTTGTTTATTTGACAGGAGAGTCACACAGAACAGAGCAAGGCGATCATTTGAGCTTATGAAACTTAAACTTTGTTATTTATTTATTAAATGAGCGATCGTTTCGCTTGATAAGACCCTTATTCGTCGTCTAGAATCGTTTAAAGCCCTTTGAACAGTCTGCAGAGTTTGTACTGAAACTGTCTTTTGGACCTTGAACCGTTTGGTTCCCATTGAAGTCCATTATATGGAGAAAAATCCTGGACTATTTTCATCAAAAACCTTTATTTCTTTTTTGAGACATGGACATCTTGGATGACATGGGGGTGAGTAAATTATCAGCAAGTTTTTTCAAAAGTGAACTACTCCTTTAAACGCATCACCACAAAGACCAGTGACACGGTACCGACACCAATAAAACAACAGGGAAACGGGTCACTGACTTTAATGGATTAGATTCAGCCCTACAGTTCTTTCGATCATAATTCTGCAAAAAAAAATGCCAACTGCAGGGGTTTCACAAACAGATTTGGAAACTTATCTGTCCTTTGGGTGATACGCATTGTGTTTTTCATAAGGTGCTTCACAAATTGTGCCTATGCTGCGAAACGCAAGCCCAGCATTGACCCACTTTACCTGCACGACTCTTTCGGATACACATGGATAGCTGTTAGACTGAGGATGCTGCATCAACAACTAAGTAAAAGTAAAATGAAAAATGTTGCATCCGCTCAAGGACTGTGGGTTAAAACTTAATGGGAGCGATTGAAACTTTCCTACATGTTTAGGTTGCTTAAAGAAAAGAAAGCATGCATTTTTTTCCCTTGCATGCAGTGAGAAAGCGACTGAACAGCTGCTGCTGTTAATATCATTTGCTCAGGATTTTTTTTTGTTTTTAAAAAGACTTATTCCACCAGGGTTATTATTATTTCTGCTTAAGCTGTTGGCGAACATCAAAAATAGCAGTTTTGCAAGCTGTTCATAGTCTTCATAACTCTCATACTCCACCTCTGCAAGTGAAGTCAAGTAGGTTTGCATCAAAATATTAATAAGTTATGTGCTCGTCCAAGTCGAAGCCATTTGATTGGACATTGCTACATACAACGCAAGCGCTTCTAAAGCCATATGATAGCTTTAGACACTTAGACATATTATACATTTATTCATTTAGCTGTTGCTTTTATACAAAGCGACTTACAATTGCTATATAGGTCAGAGGTCGCACGCCTCTGGAGCAACTAGGGGTTAAGTGTCTTGCTCAGGGACACATTGGTGGATCGAACCTGGGTATCTCACACCAAAGGCATGTGTCTTATCCACTGCCTTTAAATGAGAAACTGAATTTGTTTACTCAATCAAAATCTAAGGAATAACTGATAATCTAAGGAAGATAGGTGAAACTTTTGATACTTTTATTGTGCTTGTGTGTCCGTTTTGAAACTTAAGACTTCGGTTCCAGTTACACCTAGAGAAATCTCAAAAGTATAGTTACGCTTCAGACTTATTGCATTTTGCATGTAGCAAGAAATCCGATTACAGGACAATAACTTGACACAAACACAGCTTAAGGCTTGACTCAGGGTTAAATTTTGCCTGTGTGGAGTGAATCAGCCCCAATTTCAAACAAAGAAAACTTCAAAACTTCTTCAGTACAAGAGGTTGATGCATGTTTGAGTGAATGAAGTTTCAATCCCTACCTGGATCGTTGTGTGAATGAGGGACCACAAACACTTGCAGGGGCTCTTCGTCCCACTCGTTGGGCTCGTAGGTGATCTCAAAACCTTGCTTCCAAACACCTCCGTCCACATTATCGAAGTTTAGCAAGGAGTATACATCCAGCATCTATAGCCAAACAATCAATACAATGATGAATGTCATTCCACTGATTCGTCTGGAAACATCTTTACAAAAGACTCAGAACCGCCACTTGAAGACACAAAACCGTGATGTTGCATTCAACGATTTTCCACAAAACAGGACATGGCGCGGACTTCTTAGAAATACCACATCTCATGGCAATTTGGTATAACTGACAGATGACAAAAGAACTGTATTTAGAGTAGGCGTGACTGCCTGAAGCGTAACAATGCACCCAATGGAGGAGAAAAGTGCCTGTTCACAAGCATCCAAGCATTATGTGTTCATCCATTTTGGGAGCTGAGCAATGAAGGGTTGTTTGGGTTGATTTCAAATACCAGCAGTTTTACAGTTATAAAAGAAGCACATGTTGACTTAAATTGTATAGTATGTGTAAGAGCCCAGAAGCGAGCATAATAGAATACTGTTGCCATTCTTGTGAAATACAAGTCATCACTATTAGTCATTAGATGTGGAACTGCAGGAAGGCAAAGTCAAAAGTTGCACACTCGAAACTCTGACCAACCAATAGAGTTGTCAAAAAGACCGACTTCGGTTAGCGTGGCATGCCCGATCTACATCACGATGTTACGTCTGGGAACTCATCATTGACAGGGCTCAATCCGAGGGGCAGGATAAACGGTTGTCTTTCAAATTCTCTCTGCACGCAATTGGATAGCGCGACTACCGATCAGAGCAACGAAAAAGGTGACGACTGAGTCTCATGCGTATTCCCACCAGCAGAGAAAGTTGATATATTAAACTTTTACTGTATTCCCAGACTGATCTCATGAAATAGCGTGTGTATGACACGCCAATTCGTATTTCCATTTCTGGCGTGCTATTAACACGCATAATCGCTTTTCAGCGTGTTTATGAACACCATTGACTTAACGTTATTACTGTATATAGAAATATATGACCTACCTCAACCCCGTCCCAAAACCTAACTGTGTTCCCCTACCATCCTAGGAAAAAAAAATATCGCTCCCCAGATGTAGATCTACATTTTGCTTCGTTTTGCTCAGACATTTGACGGCGTGTACATAGACGCGGACTCACCCAGACGTTAATGCCGTAGACATACACGCGGATAGCTCAAAATGCGTAGAGATAACACGACACTTGAGTCGAAAGTGGCGTGTATGTTTACGCAAAAAAGTCATGATGTCATGTTGGTATTCCAGTCGGCAAAACTCCGAACACATCTTTTTTTTTTTTTAAGTGACTCAAGTGCCGTTCTTCTGTTTTATTTCAAATCATCCAGGGTAGCGGTCAAAGCCGAATCGAAAGACAGCTGTTCGCCAGCAGCAGCCATTCTTTGTTTTCAAGTAGCAGTGAACGTCGTCATTATGTTAAGCCCGCCCGCCGACTCTATACACGATGTAATTGGCCTGACCAGAGTTTGGTTTTTCCAGCTAAAACGTCTATGGAGAGTTGCTAGACCACACTGGCTGCGAAATAATTTTGCTGCCGCTAGGGTGCGTCTAGATTTCTAGGCTAGACTTCGGTACTAACATTTAAAAAATTGAGCAGAATCGTAAACACCTCTGATTGGCCATTGTACTCATGGGCTCGTCAGATATGTCTGTGATTGGCTACAATGATCAGTGCTTCAAAAACATTGTAAATATACACCGAGCGCTTACACAGATACACACGGGAGAGTGGTCCGCTGATAGGCGCCAGCTTGTGATTTCAAAAGCTTTCAAACACTTCTGTGTGCTTTGATCATAGTAGCCAATCATGGACATATCAGATGAGCATGTGAACACAATGGCCAATCAGATTGTTTACGATTCCGCTCAACAGCGTTCAAAGCGGCACAATTTAAAAATGTCAGTATCGACTTGGTAACGAAGTCTGTACTTTTTGACTACTCAAACCACCACAAGTGAACCCTAAAGCCGCACCGCAATCCGCTCCCAGATAACACAGCGTTCAATTGTAGTAATTAAAGGGATACTCCACTTTTTTGGAAATAGGCTCAATTTACAACTCCCCCAGAGTTAAACATTTGAGTTTCACCGTTTTCGAATCCATTCAGCCGATTTTCTGATATTTAGAAGAATATCAGTAACCAGACAGTTTCTGGTCTCATTGACTTCCATTGTAGGAAAAAAATATACTATGGAAGTCAATGAGACCAGAAACTGTCTGGTTACTTATATTCTTCTTTAAAGTGGAGTATCCCTTTAAAAACACTCCAACCCACTCAAACGCTGTTTCGATTCTCACCTGCAGGTCAGTTTGGCTCCTGCGGCCCAGTGCGAACTGGCAATCCAGTGGCTTAACGGAGAGAAAGGTGGGCCTGCCATCAAAGGGCAGCACCCAGGAGCCATTGGCGCTCCGGAAGGGGAGATGCCCGCTGGGAGAGATGGCCCCCGTATCCGTGAGCTCCAGCACAGAGTCTTTGATGTGGCTGATGATCTGATGGTTCTCCTCCAAGAGCTGCTCCAGTTGCTCGATGCGGTTCTGCAACACCGAAATCTGGCTCTGAAAACAAGGAGGGGGATGGAGGTGTAATCTATCTACCACCACAATCTACAACATCACATGACTGACCTGAGCGCTCTAGAGGGGACGGCACACCAAGGCACACAGGAGTGACGGGTCACGGGGCTAACCTCTAAACACGTCTACGGTACCATAAACAAAACTTTTACATTTTCGAAAGAAAACTTGAATAGTGTCCTCGTGATTCTGCGTAGGGATGCACTGATAATTCCCGATAATTAATTTATAACGCTATAGTCGAAAACCGATAAGGCTGCCCCCTATTGGTCAAAATAAATTATATTCTGGTACTCGGATGCGTCTCAGGTTCATTCTTCAGTGTAAATTTATGGGATTTCTTCTGCCATTTTATCATCCCCAGGCAGATAATAAATAATAGCACACCTCTCCTCAACAAAAGCACGATTTGAGGTATCATTTAGATCCATATAACAAAGAGTGAGGGATGAGTTACATGTTAACATAAAACTTAGGATTGGAAGTTAGAAAGTGTGACTTATCAAGTGTCACTGCAGCTGTAAGTGTTTGCTGGGGCAAAGCTCACTGACAATCAAATTGAAAAAAGATTTAGTACAGGCTTCGGATACGAACAATATCTGCATATGAATAATGTGCGTTATATTTCCCGAGGCTTCCGATATGAAGCACATCAAATGTGCTAATTCCCACACCATCAACTATGTGTCATTCTGCATGCGATTTCTAGAAGAACACCAACACATTTTTCTAATAATTGGGTTTTTTTGCATATAAAAAAAGCCTTTGGTTCATGATAGGAAAAAAAAGCCAGCACTCACAGGGAGTTATTCACTAGCTAATTTAGTAGTTAATTAGCTCCAGACAGAGCCAGAAACAAATTGGTCACATCACTAGCTTTGTACTTGCAAGGCTGAAAAAAAAAAAAAAAAAAAAAAAACTACCGAAGGCTTTGACAAATGGAGCCATTCAAACAGACCAACACAGCAACAAACAAAAAATGTAATCCGGGACAAAGGGAATTCATAAAGAAGTCACTGACTCACCCTCGGAAAGTTCCCGGCGTTCTGTCTCCTAGCGGGATCGTGCTGGACGCGGTCCAACATCAGATAGAGAGAGAAGACGGCCACACAGAAGATGGCCCCTCCACAAACGGTCACCTGCTTCTTCAGTTTCATCCTCCTCTGTTTATCGCACGGATGCTGATGATGTCGAGGTCAAGGGGAGCGGAGACAAAAGAAGAGAATCTCAACATGCACAACCCAGGTCTGATGAAGGCAAGGCGTGTCCCAAAAGTGAAAAAGTGCAGTGTTGCTGGAAAAAAAAAAAAAACGGTGTGATGGGATTTGTCAGCGATGTTTAAAGTCCACCTCTGCTCTCCAAACTCTTAGAGCAGGGACTCGTGGGATACGGGAGGTGGTGTGTATATACACGGGGGACACTGATCAGTGGGAGCCCAGCAGTAGTCTGTCAACTGTGACCAAACTACAGCCAATTTCAGTCTTTTTCAAAGCACCCCTTGTCCTCAACCATTCAAACCCAAGAAAGGAAGAGGGGGGGAAATAATAACACAGGTTCTAAACAGTGGGAGCCCAGACAGGGATCTAGTGTCCCTCCGGCAAAGCCTGTCTATGTGTGTGTGTGCATATAGATGTCGTTACGGTGAGGACATGTCCCCAGCACTTTATCAAACAGCTTCCGACAGAGGTGGATGTAATACGGAGGAAGCATCTCCAGTTCTTGGGCAGTTTTCATTTTGTTTCTAGGTGATGTTCGTTCCTGCTATGCTCTCAGAAACGCATCGTTAGACTGAAATTACAAAACTAAATGCAAACAGATGTGCGGCCACTCATGAAATTAATCGAATGATGTTCAGCGACAATTTTGGTTAAAATTTTTTTTTTTTTTTAAGTTTATATAAAAGAGCAAAATAGAACCCAGAACCCTTCAAATTAAGTTGATAAAATACTATATTATAAAAAACAAAATATACATCATACACACACCCATATATATATATATATATATATACACACACAGACACACACATATACCTGTATATAAAATACAAAGCATAATTTATTGTAAATGTAGAATATTAAAAAAAATATGTATTTAATATAATATTTATATTAGTGCTGTCAAATCAATTAATCACACCTAAGATAAAAGTTTGTTCATATATACGAACAGACTTTTATCTTAGATGAAATTAATTGATTTGACAGCACTAATATAAATATTATATTAAATATATTTTACAATATATATAATATATATATATATATACACACAAAATTTTTGTTAGATGTGATTAATCGATTTGACAGCACTAATTTATTTATTTATATATTTATATATATGAATGAATGAATCTTTATTATTGTGTCATGCGTATACATTATTGTGCCATGCGCCCAGCCCATATGGGCTTACAAGACACCAACAATATACAGAAATATAAGAAAAATTAATATACATATAATTAATAAGATAGCCAGGTCCATTTAATATATGTTATTTATAAAAAAAATAACAAAAACCACATAAAATTAATAAAAAATATTCATAAATACTAGAATATTATATATATATATATATAATACTAAATTAACACTGTCTAAATGGATTTGAATTTTTGGATTCATAATTGTAATATTACTTTTACAAGTACTGTTGTCAGTTTTGACTTGGAAATGAGCAAATATTTAAGTTTGCACAACCGAATTTAAATTCAAGAGCTTTCCGAAAAGTCTTTTCCCATTTATTATGTCACAACCAGCACATCAGTACCACCCAAGTCTCTTCACCTTGTGATGCCCGTGTGTGTGTGTGTGTTTTAACTTACAGGGTAGAGTGTAGTCCTTCACACGGCAGTGGTCGCTCCAGTCGGTCGAGGATCCATCGTCACGAATGCAGGTTTCCACCAAGCAGAGAAAGGACCAGAGTGGAATAAGAACGACCAGCCTCAGAACGCCCCCTCTTTCTTAAGGTTTTTTTTTTCTCTTTCCAGCTTGGCTGATGGGTCTTCTCGGACACTGATGATGCAGATCTGCTTGTCCACTATCCTTTTAACTCCATAATGTATCCAACAAAGTCACTAGTTTTAATATTTTGCGGCCAAACGAACCTTTTCTGCCCTCAAGGACGACTGGCCTTGATTCTGAATGCTTTTGGATTATAAAGTCCTACAACAGGAGGCAATTCTGGGAAGAGCACAATTTGTGCCAAATTTGACAATGGAAGGTGGCGTCTCGCATTCAAGATTCAAAAAAGAAAGGCAAACCCGGAGCAGCGTGGCCTGGATTTGCCTGTAAAAACAAGCAGGTGGTATTCTTCCTCTGTCTCGCAAATCTAATACGAAGGTAATCCTGTCATCTCCGAGTCAGGCAGTGTCTTAGCGCTCTCCAGAAAGACTTGGGATTAAGCCTTTCCTCAAGCACTGCTAAACGGCTCAAACGATCCCATGTCCAAAATGGAGAGGTTCCAGGAATGGCTACATAAAACTGAGAAGGCTACCAAAGGGAATCTTAATGGAAGTGCTCTTAATGGAAGATAGTAGACCTAGTTTTAGAAAACTAATGAATAGGGTTGCTTTGGAGGTCTTTCTTCCATGTCTCCTATTTTGAAGCTCAGATTTCCACAGCAAGTCTCAGAAAAGGAGAGTCGAGCACCTGTGAAAACAAGTGAACAGTGTAGTTTAATACCCGTCTGCTGAAGCGGAAATGCAATTGCAGTCAATCAATACAATTAAAAAACACATTATTCCCAATGCAAATATAGTGAAATTTCGTTGACTATAGTCAGTATTTGTTACATTATATTATTTTTCTTTATTTGAATTGCTTGATTATTATACAAGCCAAAGATTTTGAAAACAGATCATATTGAATTATAATTTAATTATAAGTTAAACAATATACTACGCGCCAAAAGAAGAAAAAAAACATACTAAATTGTTATTTGTGATCCAAAGAAAATTTCAGAAAACAAAAATATGTTTGTCTAAAATAGTACAAATAAAAATGGAATGAAAAAATTAAAACTTTATTTTCCGTTTCAAATAAATAAATAATATTTTGGTGCATCACTAATAGTTATTCATCCATTCTTTATATCATACATTCAAATATCTAAATAAAGCATGAAAAATTATTTGGAGCTTCGCTGTGAATAATGAAAGTCCAATATATCGGAGGTTGATTAATTGGTTGTTAATTAATATAGTTGGCTGATAATTAAGTCTGATTATCAGAAGCTAGTTCTAAAAAGCCTCATCAATGGGTAATAAACATTTAGTACATTTTTAATGAATATTGCATAAAATGTTTTTTCTTTATATTGGTCATCCAACACCATCTGTATTGGCATCTATCATTTAAAATCCTACATTGGTCAAACACTAATTGTGAACACTGACCAGAGAAAGGAGTTTAGATTTATAATATTGGTGTTTGCCCATAATTAAAAAAATTAATTAATTAATAAAAAATTATATTGGTGCGTCCCTGAGACTGAAAGAATCACTGACTGCTTTCAAATAAATAAAAAGAATATAAGTTTAAATATACAGATATATTACAATATAAGATAAGCAAACATAAGTGAGAAAAGAGATCAGTATGTAAAACTACAGCAGCCTAGTCTTGTCCTAGAAGTCTTGTCCTTGTGCAGGAGAATTATTTGAAATATTAAAATTACCTAGAAATATGCCTGAAATAATTATGTGGGGATGTAATCAGCAGCACTGATATCAGACAGACCATTAAGCACATAGCTCGTCGTTAAAGCAGCTTGTTGCCATATAGACAGATCCACTGATATCCACTGCAAGCCCTAGCCTATATCTGCATATGGAGGCAAGTTACTCGTTTAACGCTTTAGATCCGATCTATTCACCTCTAAGTGACATTCGCACTCAAGATCAGACATATTTAAGAGTGTATCAGCTAAATCCGGAGGTAAGATCGCGTTGTATTCGCGTGCAGCATGTAAATACATTGCCTCTCCTCTAACGTATTCTTCAATACAAACGCGCGATCAAGCTACAGAAAACACCTTTGTAACGTTAAAAATCATTACAATGCACTTCTAACTCTTTTTGAAACGGCTTACCTGTTGGTGGCAAGGATTTTAAACGAGAAAGCAGTCACGGGACATCAAATATTTCCCCGTTATTTCCTACTGAAAGACGTCTGTGATCCTGTGCAAGAGCTTGAGAATGGAGCAGAGCATTGTGGGAAGTGAAGTTTTCAGAGGGCTGAGGCGCACTGGTCTCTGATTGGTTACATTGTTGTATTTACAGTATAAATATCATTCAGATGATGACTTGTATATCTCCCTTATCATTATATGAAGACCGGGGTTAGTTGATAGATAATAGATAGATAGATGATAGATAGATAGATAGATAGATAGATAGATAGATAGATAGATAGATAGATAGATAGATAGATAGATAGATAGATAGATAGATAGATAGATAGATAGATAGATAGATAGATAGATAGATAGATAGATAGATAGATAGAAATTAAAATATACTCTCACTAGAGTAGAAAACAGATATGTAGGCCTGTTTCTGTGTTTCATTTTTATTGTGCTGTTCATTATTAGTGCAACTGAACTTCGTTGGATGTGGACTTATATGGTCAAGACGAGAAAATAAGGCGGAGCTTCGAATCCTACAGCGGTCCAGATGCTCATAAATATTAATGAAGTAATACGACGTTCGACCAGTAAGATTCGGCAGCGTCATCATCGCGCATCAAAACCAGGAAGTGCAGAACAGTCGAGAACAGAGTGAACAGAACTACTGCTCTCTTTGGACCATTAGGAGTATTTTAAGGCGTTTTTAAAATAAACAAACAGTGTAGACTGTATTAAAATCCCGACGTTTTTTTTTACTTGAAAAGCGAAGACAAAGACGCAGAGAAAGGTGAGATTGTATTTGTATGGTCACCATGCAACTTCACCATAGTTACTGTTACAGCTCTAGACACAGATGTTATGATGCCTCTATTTAATTTAATACTACATATAATGCAATGTGTGTTATTTGCAAAAACATTTAACATAATGCAGTATTTTGTGTTTGTTTATTGCAAATGATTGCCCTTTATTTTATAAATGAATTTGTATTGCACAATTGTACCTGTTCAGTGTGTGCTATTTAGGTAAGCCCAGTCAATTGGTGAAAAAAAAATAAAGATTTGTTTTATTGTATTTTATTCTGTTTCCAAATGTAATGTGTTTTTATGAATATTTAGATGACCCAGGACTCCTCTGCACTGAGAGAGGAAGGAAACAGCCATTTTAAAGCCGGTGATGTGCAAGAAGCTCTCAGCTGCTACACCAAAGCACTGAAGATCAGCGACTCTCAGTCCGAGAGTGCAGTTCTATACCGCAACCGAGCAGCATGCTATCTTAAAATTGAGGACTATACCAAAGCAGAGGCAGATGCTACCAAAGGTAAAAACTATCTTAGGGTATTACCTGCATCGGCAATCTCATTCATCACTCTAACCGAGTTGTGTTCCTCAAGCTTTGGACGTAGACCCAGGTGACGTCAAGGCCCGATTCCGTCGAGCGCAGGCTCTGCAGAAGCTTGGACGGTTGGATCAGGCGTTTATGGACACTCAGACATGTGCACAGCTGGAACCCAAGAATAAAGCTTTCCAGGATCTGCTTAGACAGTTAGGAGCACAGATCCAACAGAAGGTGGGAGATAATGAGGGATGCTTGCAAAGAAACATATCACTGCTACTATTTATGATCTGAAAATGAAGCTATATTGTGTTTATACATAGGCAGCACAGCTCTCCTCCACAGACTCACGAGTTCAACAGATGTTCAAACTCCTTCTGGACAGCTCAGCACCGATTTCAGACAGACATAAGGTGGGCAAGACTTCTATTAAACGTATTATGCCTTTTAACATGCAGTCTTTGTGATGTGCTCTGCTTTTCTTTGCATTTTTAATCAGGCTGCCCAGAATCTGGTGTTTCTTTCACGGGAGGACGCAGGCGCAGAGCAGATCTTCAGGAATGATGGGGTTAAACTCCTCCAGAAGCTTCTTGAGTCCCAGCAGGAGGAACTGATCCTCTCTTCTCTCAGAACTCTGGTTGGCCTGTGTACCGGACACCAGTCGAGGGTGAATAACTTCCCATTATAATCAAGTTTGATAGTTTAGCTCATAGTATCTGAAGATTCTCAATTTATGCAAATTGTTGTGGTTGTAGACCATGGCCATCGTGAATGAGGTCGGCATGGACAGGTTGTGTGGCGTCATGGGTTCTGCTGCTTCCAGCGCGTCTCTTTCAGCATGCCATCTGCTCCAGGTCATGTTTGAGGCTCTTACGGAGGGCATGAAGAAAGAGATCAGAGGGAAAGACGAAGCCATACTGCCAGGTGAGACCGACCTTCACTTTGAGAGCTTGGTTCAGCGACCTACTTTTAGCTCATGACAAGACCAGAAATAATTTCCAGCAGAGAATTTCTGTTCTACTTCTTTAAGACTGGGTTATGGCAGTGTTAAATGAATGTGTATGGTCCTAATCGCAATATAACCCGTAATGGGTGGATCAGACCCGACTTTGTATTTGTTTTCTGAAAATGCCTGGCTTACAGTACTTGTTACATGACTACTCAAATAAGTAAATAAAGAAATACAAACATAGACACAAATAAATACTGATGAAATTGTGATAAAATATATTAACCCTCTGATGGTCTTCCTTTATGAGTCACGTCATGGGCCTTCCCGGTCAGAAGTGACCGGATGCCTAAAAATGAAACTTCTTCCATCCCAGTAAAACCAATGCAATTTATTTTTGTTCTATAATATTTATTCTTTTTAATTTAGTATTTTGAGACAATTTGATTGAATGTATTAATATCTATGCAATATTTATGGTCTATTTTTTCAATGGAAATATATATATATTTTTCTATATATATATGTTTTTTTTTTTAAATATTAATGCAGTATTTTTGTTTAATATAGAGTCTAGACCTTCAGGAAAAAAAATATTTTTTGAAGAAAATTAGCACCATCTGGTTACAGTATAGAGAAAAAGCGTAGAATAATCATGGTGTAACCACTAGATGGGCATGTACAGCTCTCTATGGAGAGGCATGTGAATTCCCCAGCTGTTTATGAACACTTTTTTTTTTGGTGGATTTGAATATATAATTAAAACAATCTCAAAAACTATTTCTTATTAAAATATTTGTAAAAAATAAAATAAATTGTGAATTTTTGTGTTTTTGTCAATTTCTCATTCATTTCCTATGGGGGTCATTTTTTACCATTTTTTAAGACCACTTAGCATGCTCGGATCATGAACTCAATTTTTTGTGTTTTCGCATACCTAATGCCAGAAATGTCACCAAGTTTCGTAACATTCAGATGAAGCTGTGATTTTTAAAAATTCAAAACAGATTTTTTGTAGTCTGAATTTATTGGTGTGTATGTGTATAAAAGTGTGTTTGTATGTGTGTGTGTGTGGGTGAGTGTAAATTTTTTCCACTCTTGATGTTGTAGAGTGTCACCCCTTACTTCCTTCTTAAAGGTGTACTTCTTTTAAGAATCGTGGCCGATTTGTAGATTGTACAAACAAAAATTCAGAGAATTTTAGTTTTTTTGTAAATTTCCCATTCATTTCCTATGGGTCGGTCATTTCTGATCGAAGACCACGAGTGTGGCTATTTTTTTTACGACCACTTAGCATGCTCGGATCATGACCTATTTTTTTTTTTTGTATTCACATACCAAATGCCAAAAAAGTCACCAAGTATCATAACCTTCCGATGAAGCTGTGATTTTTAATAATTCAAAACAGAAAATTATTCGGTCAGAAGTGACCGAGGACCATCAGAGGGTTAAATATTGAGTTTTTTATTGTATTATACAAGAAGAAATAGTGATATGAAAAATAATCATCTGAAACTGTGCAGGAAATCGATTTCCTGAGACAGCAAAATTGCAAAATGATTAATATTTCATCATTACATTTTTTATATTTCCTCCAGTCTTTTAAAACATAACTGTAGGAAATTGCTCTAATAATATATGCAAAAACATCCTTGGTATTATATTAATGCTACTAGACATTTCTGGTGTAAAAAAATAACAAACGCATCAATTTTGAAAATGCTTTGTATGTATTGCAGAACCGTCCCGTGAGCTGCGTTCCATGTTGCGTCATCTAATTGAAATGCTCCCTGCATCCAGCGTGTCTGGAGCCGGCCGTGACAGCGCCATCAACCTGCTGGTCAAACAGGTGCCGCGAAAATCTTTGAAAAACCCAGACAACTCGCTCACACTGTGGGTCATCGACCAGGGTAAGTTTGACAGTGTTTGATCACGAGATCTCCTCGCATTTGACATTTAGTGTGGACGGGTTTTTTCCCCAGTGGAAATCACTGATTCTTCCATGGTTTTCCTTTTAGGATTAAAAAAGATTCTAGAAGTAGCAGGAACTGTTCCTGAGGTCGAGGGTGGACTGCCGCTCACAGACAACACTCCCATGAGCTGCTCCGTTCTACTTAATAAGCTTTATGATGACCTGAAGAGTGATAAAGAGAGGGAAAACTTCAGCAAGCTCTGTGAGGAATATGTCCAGTAAGTGTTATATCTGTGATTGCTTGGTAGAAACTAGAAAAATACTTGCGATTTTCACTGTTCACTGTCCATTGATGTTTTCTACAGGCATCACTTTGGCAGCTCAGACATGCAGAGGAAACTTCGAGCGATACAGACGGTCTCTGTACTGCTGCAGGGCCCCAGTGATGTGGGAAATTGCACCCTGGAGCTGAGCGGGATCATGGAGGCCGTCATCTCCCTCTGTGCGTCTGAAAACATCACTCACCAGCAGGTGGCAGTGGAGGCGCTCATTCACGCTGCGGGAAAAGCCAAGAGAGCATCGTTCATCACAGCCAATGGTGTGGCTCTGCTGAAAGACCTGTACAAGAAAAGCGAAAATGACCGAATACGCGTGCGCGCACTGGTGGTGAGTATTCCGACTCGAAGACATCTACGTTTGGAGTTATCGTTTGTTTGAGGAATGCTGTATGGTGTGTTTTCTAGGGGTTGTGCAAACTTGGCTCTGCTGGAGGCACTGATTTCAGCATGAAGCAGTTTGCAGAAGGGTCAACACTTAAGCTCGCCAAGCAGTGCAGGAAGTAGGTTCTGAGATTTGCTAATAACATCGTAGCAATCAGTCATGCATATTAGGTGTAGGCAAAGTGTCAATGTAACATATTTACTTTATTTAATAATATGTTTAAATAAATATATTTATATTATATGTGTTTATTAATGTATTTTTAATTGATTAATTTATTACTTTTTATTGTTTGAGTATTTATTTGATCAATTGTTTTATTCTATTCATTTTGCTTTTTAATGTATTGTATTGTTGTAGTTCACTTTTAAAAAAAAAACGTTTGCTGATAATTTACTCACCCCCATGTCATCCAAGATGTCCATGTCTTTCTTTCTTCAGTCGAAAAGAAATTTAGGTTTTTCATGAAAATATTCCAGGATTTTTCTCCATTTAATGGACTTCAATGGGAACCAAACGGTTCAAAGTCCAAAAGACAGTTTCAGTGCAAACTGTTCAAAGGGCTTTAAACGATTCCAGACGATGAATAAGGATCTTATCAAGCGAAACGATCGCTCATTTAAAAAATAAATAACAAAGTTTAGGTTTTATAAGCTCACATGCTCACCTTGCTCTGTTCTGTGTTACTCTCCTGTTCGAACTCGTTCATCAAAATGAACGAATCTTGTTCCGAGTTAATTCGTTGATTTCGTTTGTTGAATGAACCAAATGACTCGAAAAAAGATTTCTTCATTTTGATGAACGAGTTCGAAGAGGAGAGTCACGGACGCTCATCACAGAACAGAGCAAGGCGAACATTTGAGCTTATAAAACTTAAACGTTGTTATTTATTTATTAAATGAGCGATCGTTTCGCTTGATAAGACCCTTATTCATCGTCTGGAATCATTTAAAGCCCTTTGAACAGTTTGCACTGAAACTCTCTTTTGTACCTTGAACCGTTTGGTTACCAGTAAAGTCCATTATATGGATAAAATCCTGGAATGTTTTCATCAAAAACCTTAATTTCTTTTCGACTGAAGAAGAAAGACAGTTTTTTTTTTTAAAGTGAACTACTATTCTTTTAAATCTTTATATTATTATTATAATTTCTTATAGACATGAAACATTACACATTTTTCACACATTAACATAATTGTTGCCTTTATATTTTAAGAAGGAAGTCTGTCATATTTGGGGAGTTTTTAATAATCAAAGACTAATCGGAATCTGCTCGTGTTGAGCTGCATGAAACCTATGTAGATGCTTTAGTTTTCCAGCTGCAGCAAAAGCCATTTTTGCATGGGAGTGCATGTGTAAATTTAAAAAGGTTGATCTATAATTGCTGAGGTGTTATGTGCAGGTGGCCTTTAGTTGTCTTTTGCTTCCAGGTGGCTCTGCAACGAAGCTCTTCCTCCAACATCCCGCCGCTGGGCCATCGAGGGTCTGGCCTACCTCACGCTGGACGCCGATGTGAAAGAGGACCTGGTGGAGGATAAGAAAGCCCTACAGGCCATGTTTGAGCTGGCTAAGGTACCACCCTTCCTGCTGTTTTGGAGATACACATCCCCCATTATACTAATCATTGACTGCTACAGCAACTCCCTCATGTTCTCAATTTCTTTGCAGTCTGAGGACAAAACGGTGTTATTTGCCGTCGGATCTACATTGGTTAACTGCACCAACAGCTATGACGTTGAGAAACCAGACCCTCAGATGGTGGAACTTGCTAAATATGCTAAACAGCATGTACCTGAGGAGCATCCAAAGGTAACACACAAACACTCAATATAGCCACAGAGGATGGATACATCCACCAAAAATGAACATGCTATCTTTATTTATGTAATCTGTATCCATTTGTCATTTCAAACTCTTATAACTATATATTATATAGACTCATTACATGCAAAGTGAGATATTTCAAGCCTTTATTTGTTATCATTTTGATGATTATGGCTTACAGCTATGGAAACCTTTTCACTAATTTGAGGTTTTCATAAGCTGTAAGCCATAATCATCAAAATTATAACAAATAAAGGCTTGAAATATCTCACTTTGCATGTAATGAGTCTATATAATATATTAGTTTAAACTTTTAAGTTGAATTACTGAAATAAAATAATGAACTTTTGCACGATATTCTAATTTATCGAGTTTCACCTGGATATATATTTTTTTTTTTTGAGGAACACAAAAGATGTTTAGCAGAGTGTTCATGCTGCTCTCCTCCGTACAAGAAACATATTTATTGACCTGAGCCTGTCAAGCTCCACAAAAGCATTATAAATGTAGCCATTGCAATTTATTAATTTGCGAAAACAGACCAAAGCTCATCTCTTTCCTGTTGTTCTAGAAGAAAGAAAGTCGTACAGGTTTGAAATGTCGTTAGGGAGAATAGATGACCAAATTTTTACTTGTGTTTTTGTGTAGGATGCCCAATCGTTTGTAGAGAAGAGGGTGCTGAAGCTCTTGGAGGCTGGGGTGGTGTCAGCGTTGGTGTGTATGGTGAAACACGAGAGTCCCGCTCTCTCGGAGGCCTGCAGAGAGTATATCGCCAGGTCTGTTCACTATGAAGCTCAATCAATTTGGAAAACTCTGGCAGAATTCAAAGGCTGCAACTGTAAAAAGTACTTTATTTGCACTTCAACTTTGGCCCTTCCCCACTGCTGGCACAACTATCGTCCTGAATTCAGATTAAGCCTCGGATCAATTTGCTCCATCAGGCGAGATTGTTTGAAAATGGATTTTAGTGTGCAAAATGGTTGATTTCCATCCAAATGGCCCTTTTCTGTCTCTTCCTGACAGGGTATTTTTGGCTCTGGTGGAGAGACAAGAGGACAGAGGTTTAGTTGTGGCACAAGGAGGAGGAAAAGTAAGTATATTCTCTCATCATGCCTGTTAAGCTAATTTTACCGATCTCAAACTTTTGAGTGGTAGTACATGACAGATTTCTTGTTTGCTTGATGCAGGCCTTACTACCGTTGGTTTCTGAGAGCACAGATCGAGGAAAGATCAAAGCAGCACAAGCTCTAGCCAAGATCACCATCACATCCAACCCTGAGATCGCATTTCCAGGCGAGAGGGTACGTCGGCAACCTGTTTAACTTTTCTCACTGATTTCAGTCAGGAATTATATGATAATGTGTGTGTTTGTGCAGGTCTATGAGGTGGTGAGACCTCTGGTCAGTCTTTTGGCGCTTGACTGCACGATGCTGCAGAACTTTGAGGCTCTGATGGCCCTCACCAACCTGGCTGGCTTCAGTGAGAGGCTCAGGTCAGCTGTCACCCACTAAAATGAATTTGTGACATATAGCTTCTCGCACAAGAAATGTTGGGCGAGACTTGGTTTTGTCCGTCATTGACAGGTCGTCCCGCCCTCACGCCATCAGAGAAGAGATGCAAGAGTTAGTTTGATTAAAGATCATGAAGACGCATAGATTTTTAAAAATATATAATGTGCAATGATCAATCTTTTATAATACTGCAATATTCCATTAAAAAAACAAGAATTGTCCATTTTGGTTTCATGGTGACTTTAAAGGGGAACTCTGGCGCAAAATGAACCTTTGGTCTAATAAAACATCGGTACCTAGTCAATCGTTCTCTAAGATTTATTTTCATGATAATCGAATCTCTAAAAAGTGTTTAGCGTATAATGCTAGTACTGGGGGCATATAATAAGTAAAAAGAAATCGCTAGTTTATACCACTAACAAGGCTCAAAATAGCCCCACACTAACACAGTAACATAATGAGGGTCCCTACATGCAAAACGAAGCATTGAGAACTTTGTAAGTGTACAGACCGTTTAATAAGAAGATACTTTATAAAGACAGTTCACTTTGTGTATACAGACAGGAGCCATCTTAGAAAACAGTCTCAAAGTTCTCAATGCTTCTTTTTGCATGTATGGACCCTCATTATGTTACTGTGTTAGTGTGGGGCTATTTTGAGCCTTGTTAGTGGTATAAACTAGCGATTACTTTTATATTACCATTATATGGCCCCATTACTACATTATACGCACTCTTTACATTCGATTATCATGAAAACAAATCTCACGGTCGACTAGGTACCAACTAGAACTAGAACGGTCGACTAGGTACCAATGTTTTATTAGACCAAAGGTTCATTTTGCGCCGGAGTTCTCCTTTAAGCCACCGAACAGCAGAACATGCCCCAGTCAAACCACATTTCCACCCCACAGGCAGAAGATCATTAAGGAGAAAGCTGTGCCTAAAGTCGAGGGCTACATGTTTGAGGAGCACGAGATGGTCCGTGCTGCTGCCACAGAGTGTATGTGCAATCTGGCCTTAAGCACTGAGGTAAGTCACATGACAGTATTCAGTTTTTGGACCTAATTTTGAGCTAAATCCTCCTGATTTTCCTGGTTTTGTTTGATGCGTCAGGTGCAGAAGAGTTACCTGGTTACAGACAGTGACCGTCTCAAGTTGCTGGTGCTCTACAGTGGTGAAGATGATGAGCGACTGAGGAAGGCTGCATCAGGCACATTAGCCATGCTGACAGGGGAAATGCCCGAGCTGTGTACACGTATTCCTGATACGGTGAGTAACACCTTCACTAAAGTGTGTCTCTATTATGCCATTTTAAAGGTATCATGTGCATTCAAGGTCATAAATATTTGAATTTTCGGTCCCACTTTATATTAAGTGGCTTTAAGTACTATGTACTTACATTGAAATTAATAATTTGATACGATGGACTTATTGTGTACATACATGTTTTTACATGGTACTTATATTTTAAAAATACCAGCATGTAATTACAGCTGTAATTAATTTATGTAATTACATCTGTAATTACACAGCTGACCCATCCCTTACACTTAAACCCACCCTTAAACCTACCCATACCACCCCACCTGTCCCTAACCTTACCCGTGTCACACCTCAATAGCAGCAAAAGTTATTTACAATACAACATGAGCACAATAAGTACATTGTACTTATTTTTAAATGTAAGTACATAGTACTTAAAGCCACTTAATATAAAGTGGGACCGAATTTTCTCAAAATATACATTGCACATCACCTCATTTCTCACAAAGTCTGAAACGATTTGATAACGGATTTAGTCTTTCTAAATCCCTCCGCTCTGAGTGGTCAGGTGGCCCAGTCTGTTGTGATTGGTCTACTGCTTAAAGCGCATGTCAGAAATGAAATGTCCATTACCATATCTGAATTTCATCTTCCTCCGGGCTTGTTACAAAGTGATACGAACAGTAACCCTGATCCAGTCCTCATCCTTTTGAAGTGCATCAAAGTGGATTTGCTTTCACGGCACAGAAAGCAGGGTCTTCTTGACATAGTGTCAACACAAACCAAACTCTTCCAGCTTCAGCTATGACTATTCATTGTCGTATTCATTGAAGAGCATAGGCTGGCATTATACAAAATATGTTACACCCCTAAGTAGGTTCTTGCAGGAAGTAAAACTGACTCGGTGAGACAATAACTCCATTTATCGTGCACTTTAGACAAGCCACTGGCTGGAGATCTTCCAGGCTCTGTTGCTCAGCGAAAACCAGGACCTGCGGCATCGTGGAGTGGTCATCATAATGAACATCATGCAGGCCGACAGAAGTCTGGCAGAGAAACTGATTGAGAGTGAGGCACTGGAGATCCTGTCTGTCCTGGCTAAAGGAGACCATCCCAACCAGGACTCCGTTCGGAAAGCCGCCCAGCGCTGCTTGGATCTGGCTATGGAGTACGGCCTCATCCGAAACAATGAGGGAGGAGTTAATGGTAATTCCATGTGATATAGTCTAATGGGGTTTATTTCCTAACCTGGAGGTTTGGAGCCTTTTATCCATAATGGCTAAAAACATAGCACACATTTCATACTGCCTAAAGAGACCAAATATTGAGCTTGTCCACTCAGTTTATTTTCCATGCACATTCCAAGATATTATACGATTATTCTAGTTAAATGTGTGGAGAGCGCACACTGAAAATATTAAATCTTGTGTTATTTATGCTTTGTCTGACCACGCCTCACCATGTGTATTCAAGTCTTAATTGTTGAATATGAATTTTTTATAAACACTACTACTTTTGTTTGAGGTGTGGTGGTCTTGTTTTTATTCTTGCTTTTGTTTACTCACAGATAAAGTAGATTCGTTTGGGTTTAACAATGTTGACTTTTTCACACTGTTTTGCAACTACTAAACGTTCAAAAAAAAATAAAAAACGAATTTCTAAAGATTTAATTTTAATTTATCGCCATTTCCTCTTACATGGGAATTGGTTTGAATATTTCAAAGGCCATTTTCTAGTTCTCGTATATTACACCTAATATTTCATGTTTCATAATAGGTCAAAATCCTTTTAAAGTTTCTATTAAAGTGATAGTGCTGATAATTGAAAGGGGTTTCTAAAAAAAATTCCCAGAAGGGACAAAATATTTTTTTATATATTGTTGAATAAACATTTTAACTGATTTTCTGATTACATTAAACTAAAAAAATTGACATTATCAGTAATATGCAAATATGTGCATATTTAACTAAATTATTATTTTCATACACTACTGTTCAAAAGTTTGGGATTAGTAAAATGTTTTTAATATTTTTTTTTAAAATAGGTCTGTTCACCAAAGCTGTATTTAACAGCAAATACAGTAAAAATTGTCATATTGTGAAACATTATTACTATTTAAAAGAACTGTTTTCTATTGTCATTTATTTTACAGTATAATTTATTCCCCTATTTTTCAGACTTCAGTGTCACATGATCCGTTATAAATCATTCTAATATGCTGATTTGCTGCTCAAAAAAACATTAATTATTAATAATGTTGGAAACAGGATTCTCTGATGAACAGAAAGTCCTATATTCTTTTGGACTTTCAGTTCATTTGAAATATGAATCTTGTCTTACTCGATCAATTTAATGCCTATTTTCAAAACACTGAACCCCAGACGTATGAACAGTACTGTAAATTAACTACAAATCGCGTTGAAACAAGCGGCATGAGCCCTCTCCCTTTCCATAGTTCTCAATTGTGTCATGTGACTCCTTGTAACCAATCAGAGTCGTTCAATACGTGCACTATTTGTAGTCCTTTCATTTTTGCCGCACACGTGCGCGTTATTTGTATAGAGAAAGGGTTGTTTACAAGTGTAATGTAACTATGAATGATTGTGCCATTTTTACCTACTCTAAGAAGGACTTTATAAATGATGTTTGTTCCGGGAACCCGAACCGGTCCAGATTTGACATCGCGCTGCGGTCCGGATGGACTGAGAGGAAGAACGCCGGGTTGTTTCGGTACCAGTTGGACGATTTGGAGACGCGGATCCTCCCTGGGCCCTGTGGATACATCGCTCAGCTGAACATCATGAGAGGCATCGAGAGACGAAAACCTCAGGAGATCCTGAGCGTCCGGCAGAACTTTGACCCAAAGCAATTCAATTTCAACAAAATCAACCTCAAAGAGCTGCTCTTTGAATTACAGTGTGAAGAGGGATGCCATAAAAGTGGTTCAAAACGGAAGTGCAAAGTGATAATAAACGTGAGTCCGCTGGAATTCGGTCACTGTCTGCTCGTACCTGAACCGGACCGGTGTCACCCTCAGATATTGACCCCTCTGGCGGTCCAGATGGGGATAGAAACGGTTCTGCTGAGCGCTGATCCAGGATTCAGGGTTGGCTTCAACAGCCTGGGTGGGTTTGCCTCAGTTAACCATCTCCATCTCCATGGCTACTACCTAAAGCACCAACTGAGGATCGAGAGCTCCCCAGCAGAACTGATCCTGCCTAAAAAACAGTTGTATGGGCTCCTGGACTTCCCAGCAGGCTTTCTGTTCTACACCCAGGGTCCAAACCTGGATTTGACAGTCAATGCGGTGTGCAATCTCACTGATATTTTGGTTGACAGGAACATCGCACACAACCTCTTCATCACCCGAGGTTGTCCTCCACAGAGGGAGCATGAACAGTCTTCATCACGAATCGGGGTGAGGGTTATCGTATGGCCCCGCTTGTCTTGTTTTGGGGCCAAAGAAGAGTCTGCCTTCAATGTGGCCCTGTGTGAGCTCGCCGGTCACCTTCCCTTCAAAAACAGAGAAGACTATGACACAGCCACTGAGGACGGAGTACGGGACATCATCCGGAAATATGTGCTGCCACAAGAAGAATTCAGGGAATTGCAAAAGCATGTCATGAAATGTTTATTATAGATGCCACTTTTATTTTAAGAACACATCATATTATCCTGTGTTAAGTGAGAAGTTGCATATGAAAAGCTGCTAAGATTATATATATATATAATTGTATGTATTCTGTCTATTATTTAAAAAAAAAACAAGTGCCATCTACAACACAATAAACAGAATGCACATTAATGCATATTTGCACTTGTTGCGTCCATGTAAATTGCCATACAAGCTCATTTTCATCACATGACCTCATCACTTAACATTTTGCTTTTTAATCCTATTTTGTGAAGTCAGATCAAGTACTGAGTCAAAAATAATGTACATTTTGGAAAGACATTGCATTGTGGGATACAGTATTCCAGACAATAAGCTCTGTTGGATACTTTTGCTGAATTTGGAGTTGCATACTAACATACTACCACTATTCCTGCCAAAAAGTGGTATGCGGTTCTAATTTCAGCAGATATATTTGGTAATCAGTATTTTGTCATGAAAAAAAAAAATCATGTAGCCTACACAACATACATGGCATATACAGTAAAGTCTGCTTCCATACAGCTCAATACTGGATATCCTTCTCTATAGCTCTCTCTAGTGGTCTGTGAGGTTCAAATATTTTGATTTGGGAAATAAAATAAGCATTTAATTGGATAGTAGGCTACATTCATTTCTCATTAATTGAATTATATTTCATAAATCAGGGTTCCCGCGGATCCTTAAAAGGTATTTAGATTACACTTTGACTTAGACGTGTCTAAATGCTTTCCCAATTAAATGTAATTAGCGTCCATGTCATTTTTTATTATTCTGTCTTTTTTAGACTTGCTTGTTCGTGTCAATTTGCATCATTTGCAGCAGCATATTACGTCTGAGAGAAGAAGAAGGTTGGTAAATGTCAGTTCATTTGTAAGTTCATTCTTTATGTGCTTAGGAATGTGCGATATGTATTGTCGATGATATTGTAATCATTGCCCTGCACTGCAAAGATTGATTTGATTTAATGATTTAATTAACTCCCCACCCCCTCCCCCAAACTCCCAAACTCCCCACCCCCTCCCCCCTAAACCAGGGTTTTTTAGTGCGTATAGCATTTGCACGCAAAAACCATTTTTGGCGTATAAATGCCACGAGAAATGACATTCGTGGTATAGACACGCATTTTCATGAGACTGTTAAAAAGTGTGCAGCAACCCTGTTTATAGTTGATACTCAGTTATACAATACTTCATTTAGGCCATTTGATTATAAAATGACATCAACCATTATTTGTCCATCTCAGGACCAGTGTTGGGAAGTTACTCTACAAAAGTGATTATTTAGGCCTACACCTTCAAAAGTGTAATTAGATTACTGAACTAACTCAAAATGATTACTGGTTACATTCTAAATCCCATATTAACCTCTAGTTGAACAATACAAGACACAAAACTGCACTTTTGATTCTTTCAAATAAACAATATACAATTGCATAAATTATTCTTGAACTGCCAAACTGTGTAAAAGGGTACATTTTAACATTACACCCTCTTGTTATACGATTTGTTCTGTCTATAGGCTACAGGCTATGCAGTTACATCAGAAGTAGGCCTAATTAAATGACAGAAAATTTGAAAGTAATCCCTTGCTTTTTAAAGGAAAAGTTATTGTATTGTAAAAGTCATTGTAATTTGATTAGCCTGCTTAAATAATTACACCTAACACAGCTCAGGACTAATACGCTATAAACATGATTCCTGATAATATCACGGTTCCATTACGGATTGTTCCATCCAAACAAACTGTACACAATAGAAGTGTTTCATAGACAAGTGGACACCATTTCGTCTGAATCAGTTCTCGATCGGATTGTGATGAACAAAGCTGGATCTGCTACACGCAACGCCCAGCTAACCCTCATTCAGGCATGAGGTGTGTGTTTCTCCATTACAAAAGGAGCCTGAAAGAGAAGCTAGTTAGATGGTGAAAAGATATTAATCCTCCCTTGTGGCTCATAATAGTAATTCAACAGGAATGTCCCCTCAAAGCACAGTTCGACTGTCCTGTTTACAGCTCAGTGAGGTGACACACGCCGAATCGAAACCGCACGCCTGAGAGGATCCAACCCAGACAACGTAAAACCACTCTGGCGTCATTTAAAGGCTATTAATTCCAGGTGATGGTTGCTGTAACTAACACTAAACCGGTCTAAGGAGACCTGTGTCATCTGTTTCACACCACAACAAAAGCCCGGCTGATGTGCATCATGTACAGACCCTTTTATCTGCAATCTAACCTGGTACCACAAACACTCCAGAGGTGATACATTAGCCTTGGACTTTACTGAACCGATCCTACTTGTTGCTGAGGTTTGAACAGAGGTCAAACCCTGACTTGATTTCAAGTACGTTTAGCATCAATCAATAAAACAGTGATGACTAAACATTCAAGGTGCAAATAAGGGTTTGATGGCCCCTCGTAACACCTAAACAGGACATGCTTATGTATCATTTGTCCAATCAGTAAAACCATAAAATTCCAGTCAAACCCACCAAAAAGGAACTTTAATTAAAACGTCCAATCTCTTTAATTGGTACAATGCATTACATAAGTGAAACAAATCTTAGAAGAAAAACACACGAATATATATAGAAGCCCACAATGTAGTGCCCCTGGGGACTTAAACGAGTATGCATGAACCGCATGCATATAGCCACATACTCCATGAATCAGTAACAAATATTATTCAGCTCTCAAAGATCCAGGGTAAGCAGAACTGAGTGATGCCTGCAGACAGAAGAACGTTAGCAGAGCGCAACGGATAACATTTACATTACACACGAAACGTTTAAACCCTCCAGCACAACTTCAAAATAAACTGTCCGGATCTAACGGGAGCTTAAACGGGTCAATATCTAGGCAGGTTATAGTGGCTACAGCAATTCCCTGAAGCATATCGAGTCCAGTTTGTGGGATAGAGTGCAACAGTCGGGTTCCGGAAGTTAAAACTAGATTCATTTTCTTCATTGGAAAATCTATTTTTTAAAATAAACTTCTAAAGTGTTAAAGACAGACCTCTGTTGTTAATCTAAGGTATTTGCTTCTGTTAAAGATATCAGCCTGCATTACTTTTTTTAACAGTAGAATTTGTGGTCAAAAACTACATAACCCATGATGCTGTTGTCACGCTGAGTGTCTGTTATATAGGGCACAGGTAAGGTAACTGAACGAACAACAGGTGAACGTAATTAGCAACTAAGGGAAATGAAAGCTGCCAGGAAGACTTAATTACCGCGTCATGTGTTACCTTCAGGTTATCCAGTCACGTTCTTATTCTTGTCGTTTAAAAGATCGGTACTTACACATGTTTCAGTTCGCAGATGCCGACGCGACAACAACCTCCACCCTCCCCACCACCACCAGGATGGTCCCGTCTATACTTCCCTGGGGGGTCGGCTGCGCCCCTGCCTTCGTCTTCAGGTAGGAAATGCTGATCCGCTACCCTCGGATTACGATCTATAGCGGGGGCCTACGCCAAAGAACTTTGCAAATAATTGCCTGCTGGGCTGTCAATAAATGGATGCTTTGTTACATCATTTTATCTCACGAGTCTTTCTGGTAGAACTAAGTAGCGAACAGAACAAGAAACAAGTATGAACATAACCCGGACGCATCCCCCTTCCCTCCTGCCGGAAAAGCATGTCCTGGCAGCGTAAGGGTCCAACTAAGGAGGGAGGGAGGGAGAGAGCAGGATGGAAGACCATGGCGGATCGAAGGAGGGAGGATTCTCGAGGGGTGACAGACTGAGACCTGATGGAAGTGGAGACCCGAAGAGCCAATGAGACCATGAGACACGCAGCCGCAGCGTCAAACATCCGAGGTGGAGCCAGGGTCCCAGAGGAATGAGGCGGAGTCCATGGCGCAGGTAGAAGGAAGCCCAAGGAACGAGGAAGCCCGGTGGAGCCGACTGGTCGACGAGCCGACTGGTTGACGGCTTGTCCCCTTGTCAAGGTGGAGCTGGAGACCGCAAGACCCAAGGCAAATTAAGAAAAAATTCCTCCAATCAGAGAGTCAAAAGATCTCTTTAGCTCTGCCTTCTCCCATGAAGCACCCTCTCCCTTTTTTTTTAAACAAATCAAAAAAATACTTCCGGAACCAATCCCACTGAGAAAAGCGGGCAAGCAATGTTGCACTCTATAAACTCTGCCTTAGGAACCCATGAAGTATGGCATCGTAAGACCTTGCTTGGCCTCCTCCTAGTTCCATACTTTGGTGAAGTAATGCAAATAGCCTGTCAGAACAAATGGGACAACCTTCGTAAGACCACAAGTACACTTTAAGTGAGCCATTTGGGACAATGTCAAATACCCAATGGAGACAGGAAATGATCCGTTTAAGCAGGAGTTTTAAGGTGTCCCATTTCTAAAAATATTCTGAGCCTCTGGAAATACTCCTTTACCATGTCAAAGATCTCAATCTTCACAATATATTACAAGTGGAAACATTGAAAATTAATGGTCTCATTCATGCATACAAGCACAAATTCTGTCAGATCAATCATTAACAAGTTCAATCCACTGAAGTCAAAAACACATCCACTGAGTCAATGCCTGGAGACAGAAAAGCTTACCAAGATTAACTGTAACATACGTGAGCGTTGCACAACTCACTGTATTATATACCAATGATGAAACTGGTGAAAGTTTAAAAATGCTCTTCAAATAGGGGTAATTCCCAGCAAACATTTTGAGGATTAATGACCATTGAAAAGATCCAACACATCCCGTCATGATTGAAAAATAATTCCAAAATGAAAGTTGAACTGACGTCTTCGACTCATCTGGCCGTGAATTCCACGTCTTTTCTGCGCGCCCATGAACATCAAAACGGGTTTCTTTTTTTTTTAGTTCTTCTGAATGTTTATAAGATGTGTTGCTGGCAAATGTATGTGTAGGCTATATATAATCCTGCATATAAAATAATCACACCCACATTGTGTAACATCGTGAAAGGCAATAAATGAGGCTATTTTTACACATCTGAACTTGACAAAAGTTCCAAAATCAGGTCAAACCTGGACGTCTATCAAACTGTTTAATCACGTGTACATCAACAGTATTTGTGGACTAAAGCAAAAAAGAGAGTTATAATTTTGCACATCTTATTGTGAATATTAGCTACATTTGAAATGTCTTCCAGTTGTTAAACAGCCACAGTGCGGTAAATTCTGTTGTAATGGCATTTTCTCTATAACAGTTCAAAATAAGGTTAAGCAGCCATTAATCAAACCAGAACATAGCAAAAGTACAGGAACAGTCAACATATTCTATTTTTAGAGTCTTTATATTGGGGCGGCAGTGGGGCGGCCGTGTGGCCATTGGGTCTATGAAAGAGCTATATAAATGTAGTCCATTTACCATTTTACCATATTCAATCAATGATAAATAGAAGTCAGCGCTGTGGCAGTACTAACTTTCAGTTAATAACAGTCTTGCATCACTGTTAAACAGCCATAAATAAAAGTTTTTAGAGTCTATGAAATTTGTTTATGGCTTTATGACTCATTTTTTACATCCACCAGCTCTGGCGCGTGCTTCAGGTGTTCCGCCATTGCTGCATCAGTGTCTGAATCTGTACTAGCATTTGGGCTAAATCTTGTCTCAGCATCTGAGGGAAGAGAATAAGGTTTTATAAAAAAAAAAAGATTCAAATTTTTAGGTAAATGGCAAACTTTTCTTGAAAAATTTCCGATTTTGGACCTTTTTAGAACCTTTGTCAAAAGAGTGCAGAAGTTACAACGTCACTCTGTAGGCCAAAACGCGGAAGTGAGTTAGCATTTTAGCACTACCGGTCCGAACGCTCTAAAGTCTATGGGATTTTTGAATGGGTTTTTGCTAAATCGCTTGAAATAAGGTCTGTGGTGAACAAAATATTTTCACGTTTTGATCTATGACATAGAACACACAGTTAAAACCTGCTTGTGGTTTTTTAAACTTTATTGTGTCTAGAGTGCCAAAGTGATGATGTAACTTTGCTAGTGGTGCATGAATTCCCTCGATCAAAAAGCACTGCATTTTCCTCATAGACTTTTAGAAAATCTGAAAAAAAAATAATATCTGTATTTAACAAAAGGTTTGTGACCCTTACACGTTTTGTCTATCAAGATAATCTTTACAAGTGAATCCACAATTTATGAAGCCTATAAAGTTTTTTTTTTAAAACACAAGACACAATAAAGTTTAAAAAAAACCACAAGCAGGTTTAAAACGTGAAAAGGCTTTAGAGGCTTTGTTCACCACAGACCTTATTTCAGGCGATTTAGCAAAAACCCATTTAAAAATCCCATTGACTTTTCAACTGTCATTAAACTTATGCTGGGAAGTTTGACAGCTGATAGACAGTTCAACTATATGTATTTCCAAGCAAGCATGTTTGCATCAAAGATACAAATGGCATTCTTTTTCTATGAACAGAAAAACAGTTGCAAATTTACCCTAAATAAATCTAGCAAGATTGTGGAACAAACGTTAATTGGTAGGTAAACATAATAACTCCAATAAATAAAATGGGGGGAAATGCTATACTGTAGGTTAATTTTAAGTTAGATGAGTCAAACTTAACTTATAAGATGTGTTGCTGGCAAATGTATGTGTATGCCTATAATCCTGCATATAAAATAATCATACCCATATTGTGTAACATCGTGAAAGGCAATAAATGAGGCTATTTTTACACATCTGAACTCGACTAAGGTTAATAGCAACAAATCACGTGATTTGTATCTTTTCAAAAATGAATAAAAGAATGCTTTGAAAACGTCTTGTGAAACCAGAGATATGGAATTCAGGAAAAGTAGCACACTGTTTATTTAGAATATAGCCAAATAATTTCGCGCCTAAATTAGCTTTTATGGCGTATTATGGGGTCAGTGCGATCAATTAAGAGTTTTAACTCGAAATATTAGAAAAATAAATCCCCCTGCAACAAAACAGGTGCTTTAAATCAACTCGAAAGCATCTTCAAAATGCAACATGTTGTACAACTTAGCAATCAGTCATCCTTAGACAATTCTAGCAAATGTTTGTTTTCTTTTCTAGGGAAGGGGGCGAGTAGGCTATTAGATGCAGACACACCTCCCGCTCCCACCATTTAAAAGTGACAGTAATGCGCGTCCACGTCTCTTAACAACATCCCCAGTTCTCAGGGACAATCTGCAGACATGGGAAACTGCACTGGGAACATGTGCGACCGGCCAAAGAACACTAACATCAAATTCAGTTTACCCGCCGTGTGTTTCGTCTGGCAGTTGTCTATGATTATTCTCTTTGGGGTATTTGTGCGGTATAACGAGGAGTCAGACACGCACTGGGTTGACATCAGAAAGGAGAACAATATAACAAGTGATATTGAGAATGACTTCTACTACAGATATCCAAGTAAGTGCATCATTTAATGGATCAATATGATATATATCAACAATAACAAAAATGTGTATACCTACAAAATAATTAACTTCTATTTTATTAATATTTGTTGGTTAATGTCGTGGTTTCTTATAATATTATGCATCTGTCTGTCCTTTCTTAATAATCCAACAAATGCATCACTGTTCATTGATTGAGCTATTAATGTTTATCAGTTGCTTCATCTGTAAGCTTTTCTCTTGAAAACATGCACCTCCTTATGCTCATGGGACTTTGGTACTGGGGGAGGTAGAGGGTTTTATTTGCTCTTTGATTATGTAAGGATCAGTATCCATTGTCATCTTTTGAATCTTTGAAGGTGTGGTTGAATTTTCACTGTTCTCCAACTATTTATGTTTTAAGTGTTGGATGACAGGTGGCGTATGAACTCGGACACAAACTATTGTTTGTGGACCGATCAGATGTCATTGGATGTGTTTTGTTATGGCTGAGGTGGGACTCGCTGCAGAAGTCTTTTGGAGTTCATCTTCTATAGTCCACTTTCAGACCGGTTATGAAAATGTTTACTGATAGAGCAAGGTGGAGTGCTTGGTATAAACACAAGAGTGATGATGATAAGCTTAAATTCATATGTTTGCTGTGTGAGATTTTTTACCACTTAAAGGGATAGTTATTCCAAAAATGAAAATTCTGTCATTAATTACTCTCTCATCTCACTCAAAACCTGTTCGAATCTTGTTGCATTACATTTATTCATTTAGCTGACGCTTTTATCCAAAGCGACTTACAATTGCTATACATGTCAGAGGTCGCACGCCTCTGGAGCAACTAGGGGTTAAGTGTCTTGCTCAGGGACACATTGGTATCTCACAGTGGATTCGAACCCGAGTCACTCACACCAAAGGCATGTGTCTTATCCACTGTGCCATAACCACCTCTAGAACACAATTTCCACTTTGAAGCTTCAAATGTTTAGGCCTATATGAACTTTTTGAACCGCCTGAAAGTTCTAATTCCATATTAACCTAGCGGTTTAGTCCAAAATTTCTTTAACTTTTATATGATGAACCAATTCAAGTTAGGCTTTTTTCTACATATAAATATTAATCGGCAAACATAAACAGAAGCTCAACCGAACCTGCTTGATGTGCGAGAATGAACCTCATCGTTTCTCGCAGAAGCTCAAACGTGCTGTGTAACATGAGAATGAACCTCATTGGTTCTCGTAGAAGTTCAAACGTGATGTGTAACACGAGAATGAACCTCATTGGTTCTCGTAGAAGCTCAAACGTGATGCGTAACACAAGAATGAACCTCATTGGTTCTCGTAGAAGCTCAAACGTGATGTGTAACACGAGAATGAACCTCATCGTTTCTCGCAGAAGCTCAAACGTGCTGTGTAACATGAGAATGAACCTCATTGGTTCTCGTAGAAGTTCAAACGTGATGTGTAACACGAGAATGAACCTCATTGGTTCTCGTAGAAGCTCAAACGTGATGCGTAACACAAGAATGAACCTCATTGGTTCTCGTAGAAGCTCAAACGTGATGTGTAACACGAGAACGAACCTCATTGGTTTTCGTAGAAGCTCAAACGTGATGCGTAACACGAGAATGAACCTCATTGGTTCTCGTAGAATCTCAAACGTGATGTGTAACACAAGAATGAACCTCATTGGTTCTCGTAGAAGCTCAAACGTGATGCGTAAGACGAGAACGAACCTCATTGGTTCTCGTAGAAGCTCAAACGTGATGCGTAACACGAGAATGAACCTCATTGGTTCTCGTAGAATCTCAAACGTGATGTGTAACACAAGAATGAACCTCATTGGTTCTCGTAGAATCTCAAACGTGATGTGTAACACAAGAATGAACCTCATTGGTTTTCGTAGAAGCTCAAACGTGATGCGTAACACGAGAATGAACCTCATTGGTTCTCGTAGAATCTCAAACGTGATGTGTAACACGAGAATGAACCTCATTGGTTCTCGTAGAAGCTCAAACGTGATGCGTAACACGAGAATGAACCTCATTGGTTCTCGTAGAAGCTCAAACGTGATGTGTAACACAAGAATGAACCTCATTGGTTCTCGTAGAAGCTCAAACGTGATGCGTAAGACGAGAACGAACCTCATTGGTTCTCGCAGAAGCTCAAACGTGATGCGAAACACGAGAATGAACCTCATTGGTTCTCGTAGAAGCTCAAACGTGATGTGTAACACGAGAATGAACCTCATTGGTTCTCGTAGAAGCTCAAACGTGATGTGTAACACAAGAATGAACCTCATTGGTTCTCGCAGAAGCTCAAATGTGATGTGTAACACGAGAATGAACCTCATTGGTTCTCGCAGAAGCTCAAACGTGATGCGAAACACGAGAATGAACCTCATTGGTTCTCGTAGAAGCTCAAACGTGATGTGTAACACGAGAATGAACCTCATTGGTTCTCGTAGAAGCTCAAACGTGATGTGTAACACGAGAATGAACCTCATTGGTTCTCATGTCAAGCGATGTTTGAGCTTCCGTTTACCACAACTGATGTGTGTGTTGATGAAATTTTAGATGTGAATAAAATCCTAAATTAAATCTGTTCATCATATAAACTAATGCGATCGAGTCTCATCAGAAAATGTGGACGAAACCGCTCAATTCATTCATATGATTACTTTTACGATCTCCTTATGAACCCTATGAAGCATCAAAGTGTCAGTTGTGTAGCTGTTAATGGAGGGCCAAAAGCTCTCAATTTTCATCAAAAAGATCTTCATTTGTGTCCTGAAGATGAATAAAAGGGTTTGTTCACACCCACTACATCCGAATGAGCTGCTTGGCACAGAAAATGTCTTTTGTGTACTGTGTACAACTTAGCAAGACTTGTAATATATCCAGGCAGGCAGCTTTTACTGTTGGAGTTCTGTTTGTCTTTGTTGTTGTTTTTATACCAACCTAAAACCTATAGTTTTGCATCTCCTGCCTCATCGGTTGACAAGGTTTTCAAGGTGACGCTTCATATCAGGCTAAAATGAAAGGACAACCTTGCTAAATTAGCAAGAAGTGTTATCAGTTTCTGGGAGAGATTTCACGGTTCCGATTGCCAGCCGGCTCTTTTTCTCTGTGGAAATAAGGGCTTGTTCAGAAACCACAGCCACTGTCTGTTTACATTAGCAGTTTTCTGTGGCGTTACGAGCATCGAGATGTCCTTGTAATGCATTTCTACCAGAACATTTTCCCAGTAACCAGCTTAGCCTGGTCCTGTTCTGAGAAACTGAAGTCTTATTACTTTTCATCTCTGCTACATTTTAGTCGAATTAGCTGCTGTTTTGACCTCAGTTATGTCACCAAAAGGCTCAGATTACAGTTTGTGACTTGCTAAAACACCATTGTCTGTAGTTCTCTGAGGGTGAATTAAGATACTTAAATGTTTTAACTTCATACTTGTTCATAAATTTGGTTAGTATTACAATTTCATTTAGCTTTCTAAAGGCGGATGTGAAGTTTATGATGGTAACCTAAAATATATACTATTAAATAAAAATAGTTTATATTGTAATTGAGATAATGTTTCTGAATATAAAGGTATTTTCTCACACAGTAATATTTTATACACAACACCACCATTGAAAACTTTGAGGTCCGTAAGAGTTTTTTTCTAATTAATGTTTTAATTCAGCAATGAATTAAATTGATCAAACGTAACCGTGAACACCGTTTCTTACAAAACAAATCGAATACATATTTACAATAAATGCTGTTCTTTTGAATTATTGAAAGAAGACTGAAAAAAATGTCGGTCTCCACAAAAATATTAACTGGTTTAAACGTCTATAACAAATGTTTCTTGAGCCGCAAATTAGCATATTAGAATGATTTCTGAAGGATCATGTGACCCTGAATACTGAAGTAATGATGTCGGACATCCATCTTAAAGGTTAAGGTTAAGGTTACTTTATTGTTCCCGGAGGGCAATTATTTGTACAGCCAGCAGAAAAAACACAAGGCACAACACGCAACATTACCACAAGGCATAAAACACACAGTCCCCAAAAATACATAGAAAAAAAAAATAAAGCTACACTGTGTAACTCTTTTAGTTTATTCTTAGCTAAAAACACTTAGTTCCTTCAAAAATATGTGCTCATTAATGTATATTTACTTCGTTCAAGTAATAAAGTATTCTCGTGAGTGTATAATATGCCATTGAAAATACATACGGGTAAGGGGTTCTAATGTCGGTCGCCATGTTGCCCCTTCATCTGATGTACATTAGCCAAAGAGGGACATAGCCGTTAATTCAAGCTTCGCCTTTCGCGTTTACGTTTGAGTTAACACTCATGGACGAGGTCGAACTGGAAGCCATTTTAATCTTAGACTACATTGGCCACCGTAGGAGTTAAAACGAAAACGGAATTGAGAGGAACAGAAACTAATATTCACTGGATGGTCATATACCTTTTCACCGCTAGATGGGGGTAAAAATCACACAGTGTAGCTTTAATGGACCTAATCACCATAGACCAAATATTCAGATGTTTTTCAAACATTCTTGGTTTTTCAATTCTGAATATGAAACAAACACCTGTTTCTATTTGACCGATTTCTTCTGATCCTCGCTATGATTTTGATTGACTGAATTGGAAATATTTAGTTTACATTTCCTGCAGGTTTCCAGGATGTTCATGTCATGATCTTCGTGGGCTTTGGGTTCCTCATGACCTTCCTGAAGCGCTATAGCTTTGGCGCCGTCGGATTCAACTTCCTGATTGCGGCTTTCGGCATCCAGTGGGCTCTTCTGATGCAAGGCTGGTTCCACTCTCTGGACCCAGCTGATGGAAAGATCAAGATCGGGATAGAAAAGTATGTTCTCTTTTATGAGTTATTGCAGTTGCCAAGGGGGGCAAAAAATGTGTATTTAAAACCAGAGACATTTATACTTCTAATTAATACTGATATCTAAATCTCTGCATCAGAATTAGCCGATTTGTTTGAGGATTTATTTAGAAAAGCCTCCGTTTTTGCATGTGAACTTAGAAAGACACTATACAGACAAACCAGTTTGCAGGTGTCCCTTCCCTGGTTTGTTTTGCTTTTAAACAGTAATTAGAAAAACAGCCGGACCAAACTGGAAAGTGAAAGATCCTATTATGCAGATGCAGGCACCACTGTTTATTTTGTAATCAGCATTGCTTGCTACTATGTATGGACATGAAAAAGTTATAAAAATGCCACATTTATGGTCATTTAACACTTCACACTGAATTGGATGGCTTCAAGTTGACTGAAATCAAGGGTAATGTAAGTTCAGGGACAAATGTTTCATTGAAGCGATGTCCCCTGTGTTCAGCTTGATCAATGCAGATTTCTGTGTGGCGGGGTGTCTGATCGCCTACGGGGCCGTGCTGGGAAAGGTCAGTCCCGTGCAGCTGTTGGTGATGACCCTGTTTGGGGTCACGCTGTTCGCTGTGGAAGAGAACATCATCCTGAGCGTCCTTCGTGTGAGTCTGATCGCTAGTGTATCAAAGATAATCGTCACCTAATATATTATTCAAGTGTTTTATACATTTACAATCACTGTAGTGTTCATGTGCGACACTCCAAGACGTGGTAAAATGTTAAAGGGTTAGTTCACCTAAAAAATGAAAATTCTGTCAGTATTTACTCACCCTCATGTTGTTCCAACCCCGTAAGACCTTCGTTCATGTTCGGAACACGAATTAAGATATTTTTGATGAAATCTGAGAGCTGGATCACTCCTCCATACTAGTCCATAGGCTTCTTGAGGGATTGAAACTTGCTGGCCTCAAAGTTATTAAAGACATCGTTAAAATAGTCCAAGTGACTACAGTGAAAACAATGACTTTATTTCATTTTCAACTATTCATTTACTTCTCTCTCTGCCTCGAGTCAGGTTGCTAGTATAATAGCGTAAGCTTCTGTTATTGTACGTCACACGCATCACGCACATGACCAGCGTCGGCCAATAGTGAGCCTACGTGTGACGTAGCTCTACGCTATCACACTACGTTAACTGACTAGAGGCCCAAAGAGAAGGAAATTAATAGTTGAAATAAAGTCGTTATTTATGTTTGTTTTTTTAGGCACAAAAAGTGTTCTCGTCGCTTGATAAAGTTGAGATTGAGCCACTATTTTAACAATGTCTTTAATAACTTTTCGAGGCCGGCAAATTTCAATCCCTCAAGAAGCCTACGGACTAGTATGGAGGAGTGATCCAGCTCTCAGATTTCATCAAAAAATATCTTAATTCATGTACCGAAGATGAACGAAGGTCTTACGGGGTTGGAGCAACATGAGGGTGAGTAAATACTGACAGAATTTTCATTTTTGGGTGAACTAACCCTTTAACATTTTACCACGTCTTGGAGTATCGCACATGAACACTACAGTGATTGTAAATGGTAAAAGGTGCTTTAAGCGATGTCACATGTTTTTTTAGGCCCAAACATTTTTTGTCACATGCAGCAAACATCTCCTCACTATCCGCTAGCTGCCTGTCCCCTAAACACTATGTAAAAAAACGCGGTCTATGCAGACAACCCACGCTCCACAAATGGCAACAAAAACAAACTGCGGCAACCCGCTCCACCAAACGTAACAAACTGTTCCAGCCAATAACTGACAAGAAGGCCCTGGGGGTGGGGTTTGGGGGGTCAGTGCAGATGATGAGGAGGAGGGAGGGTCTATCTAGCCTCCGTCTTGTTTGAAAATACTTTAAACCTCAACAAGAAGTCACGTCACCCGACATCGCTTAGAGCACTTTTAACAAAAATGTACTGTTATTTGCTATTACGTTGTTGGTGTAAATGAATAGGCTTGAACTTTGATGGAAAAACCCAACATACAGGACAATGGTGACGCCAGAATAAAAATATTCATCATTCTGAAGCTGAAAACACAGAATTACATTGTATTTTAGATGAATATGCTTCCACTATTTCACAACTAGACGTATTTAAAATAATGTATAGGCCAGGCTTTTTACTGGTAACATTACATTTGTCATTATCATGACCCACAAATATTCCCCCATTGCATTATTATACATTACATTTAACTTTATATATGCTGGTTTAATGTTGTACTGACACTAAAACTTGATTAAACATTAAACTTGATTTTCTTCCTCACAGAAATGTAATTTTGGGTGAACTATACACATTACAAAGTCACTATACATGATGCATAGTGTTGCATGTTGGATATATTGTGACACGACACATTAATATATTATATTGATCAATGATTCAATCCCTGTTAGGCCAAAGACGCTGGCGGCTCCATGGTGATCCACACTTTTGGAGCTTATTATGGTCTGTCCATTTCATGGGTTTTGTATCGACCTGATTTGGAGAAGAGCAAACATATGAACGGGTCCGTCTACCACTCGGATGTGTTCGCCATGATTGGTAAGAGTCTTGTTGAGCTTAAGCTTGCATTATATTTTAGGATTCAACATGAAGCCTTTTAGAAGGACTACCAGTTATTCTGTGTAGCTTAAACTAAAGCGGTTTATTGAAGGCTCAGACAGCATTTACATTATCATTCTGGTGTTTTGTGCAGGAACCCTCTTCCTGTGGATGTTCTGGCCAAGTTTCAACTCTGCCATTGCTGACCATGGAGACGGTCAGCACAGAGCTGCCATCAACACATACCTGGCCTTGGCCTCAACCGTCCTCACAGCAGTCGCTATCTCCAGCCTGTTCGAGAAAACGGGCAAACTAGACATGGTGACCATCATTTATTATTATTATATATTTTTTTTTTGGTAGACCTGATTCATTTATGCGTAAGATATGACTTAAAGAAGATCTAAAAGATCAAAGAAAAATTCAATTAAAGTCGATTCAATTTCTTTTTTATTTTATGAAATACATTTTCGAAAAGTGATTTTCAGATATCAGCACGAGTGAGTTTGTGGTGTCACAGTGTCTTTTACGTCATATGATAATTCATTCTCCGAAAGAAGAACTAAAGTGACACGATTCGAGTTTAAACTGCAAAATACCAGAAGTGGAACCGGCAAACATTATTATTAGACCTTTATTAGACCTTTTTTTTCTTTATTAGACGCATTATTAGACCTTTTCTAAGGCGGCACAAATGGGCATTTGTTATATGTAATGTACGCAAGTATTTTACATTATGCATTTTAATAGTGTTGTTCAATAAAACCATGATATTAATTGCTTATGATACTTTATTTGAACCAATTATTATTGGTTACACATGCATTTTTAGTCATTTGAAAGCTAATTTTATCGTAACAAAAATGGTCCAATTAATCGGTGAAATAATCGACCAGTTACCAAAAATGATGTTCGACAGCCGTAGGGTAGTTTGTGACGTCTTTCAGTCGAATAAAAGACTGTTTTGTCATTGAAGATTTAAATATAGTGTTAAAATATCTGTATCAAAATATCTGTGTACTGTCTCGTGAGGTGTGTATCATTGTCATGAATTGGTTGAAGCAAGGGAGGAAGCAGGATCCAAGTGCAGACCACTTTATTAACTAAACTTCAAACTTTACAAACTCGGGGACAGGGACAGCACAACCAACATCAAGAACTCCCAAACACTGGGCCAAAAGAGCTAGACAGGATAACAAGAAGTCTTGGAATATCAATGGTGGTTGACCAATACATTTCTGTGATTGTCCAGTCAGTATTGCATATGCAGTGTGTACACGTACTGTGCACCAACACTTCTTGGATGGTTTCCCCCCACTTTGAGCACTGTGCATATGTGAATTTGAACCCAAGTCCTGCTAGAGGTTAAATGTCATGTTTTTTTTTTTTCCGCTTCCAGGTTCACATCCAGAATTCCACGCTGGCAGGCGGAGTTGCCGTGGGAACAGCAGCCGAGTTTATGCTCATGCCATACGGTTCTTTGATTGTGGGTTTCTTCTGTGGCATTATTTCCACCATGGGTTACATTTTTATTTCGGTGAGTCTTACCTGTCAAGATGAATTGTTCCAGTTATTTCTTATTTACTTTAAACCATCTGTGTTTTTCAAGTATTTACAATGTTTAACTGGATTCATTCAATCAAGAACACTTTGACAGTAAAAGCTTTGTCTTTGGTTATAGGGATACTTAGTTGTTCCAAACCTGTATGAATTTCTTTCTTCTGCTGAACACAAAAGAAGATTTTTTTTTTGAAGATTGTTGTTAACCAAACAGTTGATGGTAGCCATAGACACCCATAGAAATATTATGAAAGTCAATAGCTACTGTCAACTGTTTGGTCACCGACATTCTTCAAAATACTCTATGATCTTTTCTGTTCAGCAGAAGAATGAAATTCATACAGGTTTGAAACAACTTGACGGTGAGTAAATGATGACAGAATTAAATTTTTTGGGCGAACTATCCGTTATGATTGCATAAATCTCTCATTTGTCTCTTTTCCTCAGCCGTTCTTGGAGGAGAAGCTGAAGATTCAGGACACGTGTGGGATCCATAACCTGCACGCTATGCCAGGGGTCATTGGAGGAATCGTGGGCGCCATCTCAGCCGCTGCCGCCACCAGCACCGTTTATGGAGATTTAGGGTCAGTAAATAATAATAAATAAATAAAAAATACAATATATGTATTTCATGTAATATATCATTTTCAGATTGCATTAAAATTAGAACAATAACCTTTAATAATAATACTTATTTTCTTAATAGTATTTACTATGAATAATGTTTATTATAATTAAATATCAACAATGATATTAAAAATGGTACTTAATATTAATAATGGTATGTATTATAATTAAATAACACATTAAAGGTTCTCTGAGCGATCCTGGGTGTTGACGTTCGGAATATTTTCAAACAAATCGGAGGCTATAGACCCTCCGTCCGCCGCATCTCGTCTCCTCCCCCTCCCTTCCGTGCTTCCTGACATAATTGTGAACGTGCATTTCTAGCAAATTATATCCTTGTGTGGGTTTGGCGAACATAAGCGTCAATTTAGAAGAAAAAAATAATTTAACGTTACCCACCTGTCCAGCAAAAACAGAGCAACCTGAATGTCGGACTGGAAGCCCTTCTGCCGCCGGAGTTCTCGCCATCGTTCAAAAGCTTTGCTACCGATGTAAATTCGGAACTTCGCGCGTTCTTTATCCGACTCCTTCTTCTTTTTAATTTGTTCTTCAGAACGACGTCTCTTTGGTCGTGTTTCGGTCATTTTTCAAACTTCCCTCTGATCTCCTTCACACACACACCCCCTTCATGTGCACGTGCACTAACCCCCCAGACCCACCCTCAAATACTTCTTGCCAGTGATTGGCTGGAACACTGTTTGTTAGGTTTCGTGGTCCGGGTGAGACATGATTGTTTTTGTTGCCGTTTGTGGAGCCTGTGGTGTCTACAGAGATCGCGTTTTTTTACAGTGTGTTTAGGGGACAGGCAGCTAGCCGATAGTGAGGAGACGTTAGATATATGTGACAAAAAATGTTTTGGCCCCACATCGCTTAGAGAACCTTTAATATTGAATACTAATATTAATGCTATTGATTTATAGTTGGATAATATACAAGAACAATTATTAGTAGTAGTTGCAGTACTAGTCTTTTTTTAAATCATATTAAATAATAATAATGTTAATATTAATAATGTATTATTAGAAGTAGTTTTATTACAAAAATTATTATTGTGGCCAGTTAGTTCACTGGAATATATTTGTCCATTTCAGGTTGGAAAACACATTTGACTTTACGGGAGCTATTGCGAAGCGGGTGCCCACTGTCCAGGGAGGATACCAGGCAGCCGGACTCTGCGTGGCCTTGTGTTTTGGAATCGGAGGCGGTATATTAGTTGGTAAGAGTCTTTAGAGAGATGAATCTATTTTAAGTGCATACTGTACAATACTATGCTTTTGAAAAGCTTGCGAATCTGAAGGGCTTTTGTTGCAATTGTTTGTTGTCGTGGCACAGGTGTGGTGCTGGTAACATTAAAACTAGAGAGGACAGTGTACGATAACATTTTGGTAGTCAGTCTGCAAACACACCTGATCTTCAGCTAACGTGAATGGACAGGCGTATTAGATTTCAGTTTGTAATGGAAATGTCACATTTATCATGTTGACGTCGCTGTATTGTTCCACCAACAGGCCTGGTTCTGAAGCTGCCCATCTGGGGGGATCCTGCCGATGAAAACTGCTTTGAGGACGAGATCTATTGGGAGGTCAGACGAAAGTGTTTTTTTTTTTTTTTTATTATTAAACTTTTTTTATTTATTTAAATGTTTCTTTTAAATATTTACAGAGACATTTTACAAGACCTCTGTGTCTCTCTCGCTCGATTCAAGATTAAATTGCTTTATTGGCATGGCGAAAATCTTTATCTAAAGCATTAATAATAACACTATACAATAAAAGAAATTAAAAGAAAATTGTAAAATATTTAACATGAAAATAAACATAGCAAAAATCTATCTATCTGTGTATGTATATATAAATATGTATAATATATATATATATATATACTGTGTATATATATGAAGAGTTCAGATGCAAAAGCCTCTAAATGCCATTTGAAATTTTCTTCTTTAATGATTATTTTTATCAAACTTGTATATTTAAGTTCAGTAATTTCACTTAAATAACAATTAATAGGTAATTATCATTGCAATATAAGTGAAATTACTGAACTTAAATATACAAGCTTGATAAAAATTATCATTCTAGAAGAAAATTTCAAATGGCACTTAGAGGCTTTTGCATCTGAACTCTTCATATATATATATATCAACTAAGAACATGTAATTATTTTCATTAATTTCAATTATTATTATCACTTAGTGAGTGCTTTTAAACATGAATTTCTGTGAACAATACAATCAAGTCAATAATAATACAATTAAGTTCTTTAAAAATTAATTACATTTTTAATTGAATTACTTAGCAATTAGCTTAGCTTATTAATTAGTTGATAGCTTTTCATTAAACTCACAAATCACCTGCAGTTCCATCACAAAATCGTTACTTCTGGTTGTTGATAACAAAGAATGCAATATTTCCTTTCTCTTTAAATTTTTATATCAACATTGTACAAGATTATACTCTACAAATCAATGTGATCAATGAGTTGGGTCAAAAGTAATCAAAAAGCAATCAGAAATGTAATGTAATGGATTACATTACTATATATGAATTTCTGTCATGTAATTTGGAATCATTAACTGACTACAATTTGTAATAAATCAAAATAAAACTTTTAAAAAAAATTGTTTACCTGCATGTCATATGACCATTAACTGACATTAGAGAACAGTTAACTTGCACTCTAAAAAATGCTGGGTTGTTTTAACCCAATTTTGGGTCAAATATGGACAAACCCGAAATGTTGGGTTAAAAATGTAATGTAAAAAATTTAACCCAACGGCTGGGTTAGTCCATATTTGACCCAAAGTTGGGTTAAAACAACCCAGCATTTTTTAGAGTGTACTTTTATTATTTAATTATTAAAGTGTGTGTGTGTGTGTGTGTGTGTATAAATATATATAATATATACACACATTTTATAATTTGTATAATATATAAATATATATTTCTTTCTTTAAACTTCGTTGCAGGTTCCAGAGGATGAAGAAAGCGTTCCTCCCATCGCAACCTACAACAACCACATGATCCCCAACAAACATGCAAACACGTGAGTAAAGAAATAAAACTGTGAGCCCAACTTTAAAATGGGACATGTCTTCATTTACTTTTACTTCAGTTAGTGGTTTATGTGAATTCTAGAGTAACATTTTATCTAATCCTATCCTATTACAATTTCTTGTCATACATAAAATATCCTCTATACATGAGGGCTTAGAATGTCAATAGAGGCATTGGTTAAAGTTCAGGATGCTTTTTGCACTTTTAGGGACATTTTTACACTAAAAATTTTAATAATTTAAATGTAACAATTGTTTAAAGCTTAATTATGAAAACGCTAGGCATACTAACAGCCATTGAACTGAAAATGCACAGTGAATTAATACATAAATTAGTTATCTTTATCATAATAAAATGAATAATAATAATTCATATTATTATTCAAATATAAGTTACATTTATTTTATTAAAAGAAAGATTGAAAGAGAACGTTGATGCATAGTATTTCTATGCTGCCATCTCAGATCATGTGATCTCTCCACCACAAGGTGGCGCTTGATGACCGCGTTTAGTTTCGGACGAGCAAAACCAAACAGAAAGCTGAAAGTAACACAGTTTCTCATACAGGACAGAGACAAACTTCGTGGAGCAGCACTAACACATGAAGTCAGATCCGTGTCACTGGGACAAACATCTGCGTTCCTGCTGCTTTCCCTGAAGACAGCAGTACTCACTACCGGCCAAACATTAGAAAGAAGCCATAAAGCACCGATCCACAACATCTCTATGAAACAGAATGCTTTTATTTCTATCAAATTTGCAGATCCAAATAACTACTTAACATATTTGCATATCAAAAAGATTATCAGATTAATCAGAATTATAAAATGAAAAATACATTTAAAAAAAGGGAATGATTCTAGATTAAAGTGACTTTCCTGTGAATGTGTTCAGAGAAAATGTGAGCAAAAACCCACAACCTCTAAACCTCCAAGCTGTTACATTTTTAATGAAATTAATTTTACAGTTGTTCATTTAAGCATTGTTATTCAAGCATTTTTGGTCATTATGATTTATAAGATTCTAAAAATTTTGGTCTTAAAATTGTAGGTATGTGTGTATTCGCATATAAAATCTATAATCTTTTATTTATAGACCCATTCATTTTCATGTCCATGTCAATCAGCATGCCTGCATAACATCTCTAAATCAAATGTTTGTCATTTTCTTAACGCTTTAACAAATTTGACCAAACGGTGGCACCAATGTGCAATATCTGTAAATATTCCTACATGGTTTGTCTTGTCTCTAATAATGTAACATTTGTTTCTTTCAGTGTGTTATCTTTATTGTTATCTTTATTGTAAAAAAATAAATAAATAAACTAACCATTTCACATACCAGAAACTTTTTTTGAAGAAGAAGAAGAAGAAGAAATCTGATTCAAAGCACATTTGTAGGTGGTTTTGAAATGTGTTTCCACTCAGACACTTACGGATGCGTCCGATACTACTGCCAAAATTGAACCTAGGCTCTCTTTATGTATCTACCCGAGTCAAAATTTCGTGTAAAAGCATATTAGAATGGAAACGCCACTTTACAGTTTTCCGTTTTAGGTAAAGAAAAATGCCTTTAGCATGATAGCGTCAAAATAACTGTGTTTAAAACACTAAGGCTTGACACAACTTAAAAATGTGCTCGAAGTATCACCACTATGCATGAACTTGAGCTTTGATTTTGTGAAAATATATGGAATTTATATTCGGGGCTTTCCATCTGCATTCGGAGATCGACTACTTTTGACTGACAAAATTCCAGCCACCGGAAACACTGACTGATAAAGTGAGTCGTACAAAACCTTTATTTTTACTAACTTTGTGTACACACAAACAATCAATTTAATGTAGAGGCCCTGGTGATACTTCGAGCACAGTTTATGTTGTGCTAGCCTTCTTAGTGTTTTAAAAACAGCGATTTTGATGCTATCGTAGAAGTGCCCCATGCACTCCCATTCAAAAGGCATTTTTACCTAAAACGAAAATACGGTCAATCTTAAAAGTGACGTTTCTATTCTAATTATGCTTTTACCTAAAATTTGACTCGGGTAGATAAACTAAAAGAGCCAAGTTTCAATTTTGGCAAGAGTTACCCTTTAAAGCTGAGTTCTGTAACTTTTGATACGTTGGATATTGAAGTCAATCTGACGTTGGGTTCTGACGTCAACCCAACTTTTTCTGAGCCCTAACCTACATAACCACAAAGAAATAAATAATTTATTAAATAAATAAAATGTGTTTCATGTGAAAATGTACATTCAGTTAGTATTATTTTGCAATAGTAATTCAAGTTAATAAACTTCTGACAACAGTAGGTTACATCAGTGATAGCTCAGGTAGAAGAAAATCTTACAAAATCAGGTTCCCACTTTTTGCAATGTACTCTATAAATGATAAGTTATAACTTGTGAACACAAATGTTATAGATAACCTGCTGCAACGTGTGTAGGCCCTAACCGTAAACATTTTAGAATGGCATAATATAGGCTAATAAACATCTGTTTCACTTCAAGATATGTTTACATTTTAACAAGGCATGCTGCAAAATATAACTGAACTTAATTTTAAACAATTGAAAATCGAAATGCGTTTTCACTTCATATAGAAGTTTAGCTTCATGCGTGAATCTGGTGGTATAGATCACGAGTCCACCAAAAAAAAAAAAAAAAAAAGCTTAATAAAAATAATACAATTTCAACAAAACATTCAGGGAATTTTGAACATTCTGGTCAAGGGTTATATCTATGCTAGAAATACGTTTGAGAATAAAAGAAAAAAAAGAAAGAAAACTTAAAAGAAAAACATATTTGCGTGGTGCCATGTAATTGCCCATATGGTTAATCCGCCTATGTTACACCAGTCTACCAGCTTCTCAGGGCACTTGAAGAGCGAGATAATGCACCACCTCCATTTATTTTTTCATGCATCCGTTTGGAAAGCCTCGTCACTTCATTTTTTTATTTATTTTTTTTTTATTTTTTTTTTATGTAAAAAACCTGTTAAATATGAATGTATTATTCAATCGTTTCTCCTTAGAACCTTTATGGCATAAAGTTTCTTTAAAATGGAGTCAAGAACCCGTACGTTTTGTTCTAAGAAAGTGCTCTTGTTGAAATACAGTTTCATCCACTGAGCGCTAGAGGAAGAATGTCCTGCTGTGTAAACTTTGTTTTGACCCTTTGATTCCGGTCCTTTTTGGCCAGTGACCATCTTGATGTCACTTGTTCACTCATGGTGCCCATCAGGGTGAAAGGTCATGACCTTTGCTTGTCTGGGGTCGATTGGTTGATGAAAGAGGTGATGATGCCACATGTTTGTCTCATTAAACACAAGACCAAACAGATATCTGGATGTTGGAGGTCAAAGGGCAGAGGAATGCAGTATAAGACATTAGAAATTCAAACAGCATATTATTATTAGTCCTTTTTAATATTATTATATTCAAAATATTTATCAGAAAATTAGTATGATTTCTGAGGGATCATGACACTGAAGACTGGAGTAATGATGCTGAAAGGAATGAATTATAAAATCTATTCAAATATAAAAGTTATTTTAATTTGTAAAAAAGAATACACTCTAAAAGGGCAGGGTCTTTTTTTTTAACCCAAATTTGGGTCAAATATGGACAAACCAGCCATTGGGTTGTATTTTTAATTGAAATGTTTAACCCAACCATTGTTTTTGTCCATATTTGACCCAAATTTGGGTTAAAACAACCTAGTGTATTTAACAATACTTCTGTTTTTACTGTATTTTTGATTAAATGAATGCAGCCTTGGTTGAGCATAATAATCCTCTTTCAAAAACCTTTTTTAAAAAGTATTGTTTCAAAAGTTTTTATTATATTAAATGTGGAACATTGGTATTTGAAATGAATGAAAACTAAAAACAGCCAAAAGTTTGGAGAATTGAATGAATTTGGTTTTCGTTTTGAAATGTTTTAATGAGAAGGTTTATTCTTAAATGCTTTGTAGACGCATAAGAGCTACATTGTTGCATTAAAATATACACTTATAAAGTGAAAAAAAGAGAAAGCTTTTTGTTTTTAAAGAAATGAAGAGAATAAGTTATTGAAGAAAAAAGCTAACAAATGCCCAGCACGCCAACTCTCTCCAGAAGTTGGTCCCTACACAACTCTCGTTCAAATTTGTGTCGTTTCACAGTTTCAAACACGGTAAAACATTTCATCAAACCGTCTTACTGTCTGTGTCCATGAACGCAAGCCTTTAATTCCCCCCTCTCTGGGAAGTCAGCATGTGACATACTTAGATCTTCGCTCCCATCTCGTCAAAGGACGTGAGGAACAAACAAACGGTCCAATTAACTGCTTTGGGACCCTGCAGAGGGAAGCGGGAAACCCCCTCCTTTCTATTTGCACTCACACACCCCTTCTCCACCTTCTCAGCATTCAGAGCCCTCGCTCTCATTCTCTCGTCCCTGCAGGCCTTTCGCGGCTAATGTATATTCATTTACCACTTAAAGGACGGACACAGCACCCTGTTAAAACTAAATCAAGCTCCATTCATGACATGATCCTTTTCGCCAGGCTCAAAGGGCCCCGGTCTCAGGGGGGCCGTGACCCTGAAGACGCAGAGAAGGGTAGAGCGAGGGAGGGAGGGGTGGGATTGATCCTATAGCCCCCTAAAAAAGACAGCAGTGTCTGCCTCTGGTGATTAAGCCGTCCAATGGCGGACACGGCGAGCCCAACGGCGGGAATTTAGAGGAGGCGTGCTGGAGATTAAAATATGTCACGCCCATTCAGAGGCGCTGGGATAAAGGAATAAAGGAGCGTTATAGGAGGGAATGAAGGGATAGTGGGACGAGGTCTTTTCACGGCTGATGACTGATTGCCCGTCTTTTGATTGACAGCCTGTGTGGAGCTGAAGGGTGGGAAAGTTCTGGGTGGGGTTGATGTTGAGCTGTGAGAAATGAAGGTTAGGACATTGTGTGTGTGAGAAGAGAGGCTTTGGTGAGAATCTCTACGCCGGTAAATGATCTGTGACCGTTACAGACGCTCAGAAAATAACGAATAAATGTTTTACCAAGATTACAAAGGATCATGTGGAATTAAACGTGAGCATTATGGCCCTGAAATGTGTTAACCACACATTAAAACGTCATTTATTGCAGTTAATAATATATCTAAACTAATATATGTACATATATATATATATAATAAACATATTTATTTAAACATATATGTTAAAATTAAATTAAACTGCTTTTGAAAACGATAGCGCTACGTCTCTGTGTCTACAAAATAGAAAAATTGTGAAAATGGTGATGTCATGCACATGTGTATAACATATTAGACCTTATGTAGTCCCGCCCCTTTTTAAGCGCCGCGCTCGTTGTCTTTTGACTTCCGGTCTGTATTTTCACAGCGATCATGCATAGGTATGAATGAACTGCTCGTAAAAAAAATTCCCGGTCGACATTTGTTAAGACATCTGCTTTACAATGCTTATGATAAACATTACAATGCTCATGATAACTTTTGTTAACTCCACAATTAGTAAATCCACTTCACCAGCTAATCACTCCTCGACAGCGATGGCATAGACATATACAGAGCGACCACGAAACCGGAAGTTCAAAGACAATATTCTAAAGATGACGGCGCCCACGTTTCTCTGGTGCATAAGGTCTATAGGTGCTTAGTGTTTCTTTACAAAGTGACATCGCCATCTACTGGCCTGATATGAATAATACAGCATTTTTTGTCGTTTTCGCGGAAACATGTTAACGCGATCATTTTGACTTTGTCGTCTGTACGCGAAAAATGGGAAGGAAACTCTTTTCCGTTTTAAGTAGCCTACATCATTGTCGTTTACACGTAGCCTAAAAATCATTGCAAGAATGGCGCAGAAAAGTTCTGCTACTTCAGGGCTTTACACTACATTGTTTCCAACTAAAAACGGCAAACTTTTTGTGTGTTTAGGCCATTCTTTTACACGGCAACGATTTTTTGGGGGCCTAAAAATGCAAACTTGGTATTCAAAGTGCAAGTTTTGGAAACGATACCGTTATCACCTCCATGTTATGCTACAAAAAAGCGTATTTGTGAAAACGGTGATGTCATGTGCATGCAAATCATGTGTTTAGTCTATTGGTGCGGTCTATTATTTATCCGTCTCAGAGATCCGAATCTGAAGGCAGACTTTGCCTAGCAACACGCCCCCCCTCCTCCGATTTCTCCTCTCGGACGTCGGACAACTGTGAGGACACAGAGCAAGAATTCCGTTTCGGAATTCAAGATGGCTGCCCCCTGTGTGACTTATGAATTGTTTTCATTGTTTTTGAACCACTTTGGTATTTAAAATGACGATTGTAATCATCCGTATTACTGCGTCCCCTGTAGGTATGGGAATCAGTTGTTGTGAGTGCAATTACTAACGTTGCTAACAGAAGATTAGCATGAAAAACATAAAGTGAACATTTTCAAGTTCAAATGGCTGCGCTTTGATAAGGTGAAGTCATAATATTTTTTTTAATGTAAGTGCCTGGTACTCGGCAAGTGCTACCATTACAACAGCTTTCCAGGTGGCGTACATTTTTTTTTTTCCGACACGCAAAACATAATAGAACGCTTGAAGGACGTGACGTCATATCCGAGGTCCGAGTCCGTTCATTGGCAATAATAGAATGCACTGTTAAGCTGTGTCCTATTTCTTTTTACAAATTGACATCGCCATCTACTGGCCTGGCGTGAATAATACAGTGTATTTAGTCGTTTTAGCCAAAGAGGGATTGTTTAGCCAAACGGGGATTGTTATTTAGCCAAACAGGGATTGTTTTGACAACGTTGTTGTCTGTACATGAAAACGCAAAGGAAAAACGTTTCCATTTTTATGACATCGTTGTTGTGTAAACGTATCCTTAGTGTCAAAATACTTTTTGGAGTGCCTTGATGTAGAATCATAATAGAAATTTGTGTATGTTATTTATTTAACTTTGCGTTTAACATTTTAATCATACAATTCAAATGTTTTCCACTGTATTTCTGCTGGTCTAATGTGTAGGAACCCAGTAAGATTGTGAGGTCATGAGTGTTTCTGTGCTCTACACTCATAAAGCAGCCTGTAAATCCAGACACAGCTCCATAAACACGTTTACAAAGCCGCCGAACTGTCTTTCCCTGTCTTCGGTCTGAGCCATTTGTTTGAATTAGTTTCATTGAGGATTCTGTAAGTATTATGGGATGTTGGTGTAAATCTCATTCAGGAAAAGCAGCAGTAAAACCTTTTAATGATCGCTGGCCCACACTCTTAGAAAAAAGGGTTCATTGGGGCTCTATATATGAAGCATAGGGTTCTTTACTCAACTCCAACGAGCCTTTTATGCTAAAAAAAGGTTCTATAATGACAAGAAAGAACCTTTTGGCACAAACTTATTCATTCATATATTACATTATTCTGCAACATTTTGTAGTTGAAATTAAATTATTGTTTATTAAACTGTTAATAACTGTCACATTTTAATCATGCTGATTTTTGGAGCAGAAAAACTCTTCGTGTGATATTGATTAACTACATAAAATTATATAAATATATAAATTTTCTAACCCCCATATCTTGAATTTTGTGATCATTCACATGCATTTATAAATACATTTTAGGGTCTTGATGTTTGTCAATAATATGAAATATTGAATCCGGAAAGGACAAAACAAATGATAATGAATGAACCCAAAAGGTTCCATATAGTACCTTTTTCCTGGTTACAAAGAACCCTAAAGGGTTCTTATTATTGAACCCTTAAAAGGGGTTCTGTATAGAACCTTTTAGGGGATTCTATAGCGCTGATAGAACCTTTTAAGGTTCTATATATATATAACCTTTTCTTCTAAGAGTGATGCATGTTAGGATGCAACTCTTCAGTAAAATAAATAGCGTTAGTTTTATATTATATTTTTTATATATTTTTTTTTCTGTGGTTTCTAGTGATGGACCGGTATATCGACCAGCCTGATTGTCAATATTTGTGTATTCATCAGCATCAGCTGAAAACATTTTTCCAGTCAACACAACCAGACTCAATTTCCAGCATCATTATTCCAGTCACATGATCCTTCAGTAATAATTCTAAATATGCCGATTTGCTGATCAAGCTACATTTATTATTATTATTATTATCAATGTTGAAAACAGTTCAGTGCTGTTTCATATTTTTGCGAAAACCATGATACGTTGACTAGAAAGTTCAAAAGAACGGTATTTATTTATTAGAAATCTAAATCTTTTGTGACATTATAAATGTCTGTCACAGTTAACCAATTGAATGCGTTCTTGCTGAATGAAAGGATTCATTTCTGAATATTATTATCTACACTTTTGATTGTGGTTTGAAGCTTCTTCAATCGTTATTTCATAATCAGAGGTGTTGCTCGATTTATTTGTTTATTTGTACAATGGCCTCCTTCTGAACCCCCCTCCCCCCACTCCCACCTGTCATAATTGGCGACCCGCCGCCGGCTGTGCGCCTCGCACACTCCAGGTATCCGGTGACTCAAAGGGTCGGTGAGTGCCCCTGTCAGCACACCGCGGTGAGGAACAACAGATTAACCCTAATCCAATCCACTCAATCCTTCTCCTGCGTTCCTCTCGCTGTTCCCTCAACCTGGAGGAGGAGCCGTGGCTTTCAGGTCAGCGTTGGAATCTCTGGCCTGAATGGAAGCCCACCGGGGAAAAAAAGCCCTCGCTTCAGTGCGGTGAGCGCGGCTGGTTGGCTTCTGAATGGCTCTCTGTGACAAAGGGTCTCTTTCACAGGATAAATGAAGAGGATGCCACTGCAGATGTCTGAGACGTCTCTGTTAGCGTCTGACTGACGCGAGACTGCACGCTCGGCTCTCCGGCACCTGTGTGAGAGTGTGTTGAGTCCTCTGACCTGAAGATGGAGTGAGGCCATGTTTCTCATCAGGCTCTGTAAGATCTCAGCACACACACTAACGTTTGAGGGCATCGCCTGTGTAATATATGTGTGGCAAGACTCCGATAGTCCACAGCCATATTAGGTTTAGTAGAAGGAGATACTTTGTTATAGTCCTGTACTTATTACTGTACATTTACCGGGTAATAACCCTTGAACCTATTGCTTAACCCATGTAGTTACAGTGTTTTCTTAGGTAAGTACACACTCATACACTGTAAAAAAATATATTGTTGGTTTAACTTAAAAAATGAAGTAACCTGGCTGTCTTAAAAATTTAAGTTCATTGAAATGGAAAAATTGAGTTAATACAATGAGGTCGATTGATCTAATCATCAGAAACTTAACATATTATGTTGTCTGAACTACATAAATTATTGAAGTTGATTTGACAAAAGAAATAATGTTGTGATAACAAATCATGAAAATATTTTTTTACAGTGTACTGTAAAATAAAGAGCAGCCATTACATTTATAGTGGATCTTCACCAAATATTGTATTTGTTATGTATGTGTATACTGCATTCATTATTGCATTTAATATTTAGGGCTTGGTTATTTAATTTTTTTGGCTTAAAATGCTTTTAGTGAATTTTTAATAGATAATCAACCAAGCTGAACTGGTTCTGAACAACTAATAGGCGAGTTAAGAATGTATGCCTATAATTTATGAATAATAATAAGAATGCAGAAGAACACTAATGATAATAATAGATGTTTAAAAAATTTAATAAAAAATGGCAAAACCACTAAAATATATTGTTGGTTTAATTTAAAAAATGAAGTAAGCTGGTTGCCTTATAAGTTCATTGAAATTGAAAAATTGAGTTAATACAATAAAGGAGATTGATTTTTATAATCAGAAACTCAAAATATTATGTTATCTGAACCACATAAATTGTCTAAGTTGATTTGACAGACGAAAAAACGTTATGATAACAAATCATAATTTTTTTTACAGTGTGATTTCTTCTAAGATTTCTTAATTTTTAATAGCCTGTTAAAAAACACCTTAAAATAGCCTTAAAAAGTACTTAACCTGGTTGCCTTAAAATTTTAAGTTCGTTGAAATGGAAAAAGTGAGTTAATACAATGAAGGAGATTGATTTATTCATCGGAAACTCCAAATATTATGTTATCTGAACTAAATAAATTATTTAAGTTGATTTGACAAAAGAAAAAAATGTTGTGATTACTAATCATGAATAGATTTTTTTACAGTAATTTTTCAAAACATTAATTTGTTTTTAAATGTATCCTACTATCAAAATAGTAAATACTTTTAATTAAAAATTCAGATAATTTAATACTTCTACTACTAATAATATGATAAATAAAGAAACATTCATTTTTAAAAAATTACGTTAATTTAAAAATGGGTGCCCTAATATCGTAGATAAATGTAGTAACAATGCAAAAATATAAAAAATTAATACAATAAGATTGCAATATTAATAATATTTCAAAAAAGAATTTAGAGATATTTCTTTTTCTTAATATCTTTAAATCAAAACAATCAGATAATTGAATAATAATAATTTTTCAAATGTTTAAATGTTCTATCTTAACATCAAAATACGCGGATAAATTTGTTACAAAACTTTCCTAAAACATCTGTATTTTTCCTGAATGCTGTACATTTTAAACTGTGTCAAATTAGAATATTAAATAATCGTTACATTATTTTCAAAAATGCGTAAAACAAGAGTCCGATGTAATATTTTTTGAACACTCTCTCTGCTTTGCAAAACTAATCGTTCATTTTACAATAGTAATTATGCCATGAATAAAGGTATCTGTTTTCCCATATACTGTGTCAGTGTGTGTTTGTGTATGCTGATCACACTCCTGGTGTCTGGCCCCCCGTGCCCCAGTCAGAGGCCTGAGGTGGGGCGTCTCACTCACACTTTGGGATATATGGGTACCACATTGTCCCAAACATGTCTCCGCTCTCCTCCCTATCCTCTAGAACTGTCTGGATGTGTTTTCCCAGACAGCCACCCTCCCTACAGGGGCTGAGAGAACCGTGACCCCCTGTGTGAGCACAGGCTTCCAGACAGCAGGGGTCAGAGGTCAACACCAGCTGTCACTTCACCCCACTGCTGCATTATAGTCCTGATTAAGGGATGGAGGAATGCAGACGTACATTCCTCGGGACGTCTCATCAGAGAGAGACAATACTGCAAGTCGACAAATAAGCATGTTAAAACTTCATGAAGAAACATGTAACGTTTTCATGATTAACAGAAATGTGCTTTCATTATGAATTGAAATGTCTTTTTTATAAAGTATGTTTCAAATGTAGACATAAAATTAAAATCTGATTTGTTCATTTTCTGATATGAAAGAGCTTTGAAAGCATGTTTGCTCTGTGAAGAGACGGATGACCTTGAGCTGAAGTTCAAGTCCAAAGTCATTCAGTTGTCTGACAAATTACAATTACACAAATGTGTGTTGTTGGTTTTAAACATCTTGTACATATATTGAAATACTTTTTGTGAATTCTATCAAAACTAAAATTCATGTCAGCATATTTTCCCTATGTAAAGAAGAATTTTAAACATGCGGGGCAAAAGTATTTTCCATAAATGTGAAGTTGGGGCAAGTTGTCACATTAAAGCATGTTTAAGAGTTGTTTATTCAGTTTATCAGTTACAATATTTCTTGACCAGATTGATATGTTTCCTTTCACACTTCTGAGTTGTTTCTTTAACGGCGAAAATGTCCAGCTTTTTTGGTAACACTAAACAATAAGGTTCATTAGTTAAAATTAGTTAATGAAACTAACAATGAGCAAAACATTTGTTACAGTATTTATTCATCTTTGTCAATGTTAGTTTATAAAAATACAGATGTTCATTGTTTACTGTAAAAAAATATTGTTGGTTTAACTTATAAAATGAAGTAATCTGGTTGCCTTAAAATTTTAAGTTGATTGAACTGGAAAAAGTGAGTTAATACAATGAAGGAGATTGATTTAATCATCAGAAACTCAAAATAATAAGTTATCTGAGCTAAATAAATTATTTAAGTTGATTTGAAACAAAGATAAAATGTTGTGATAACAAATCTTGAAAATATTTTTTACAGTGTGCATGTACAACCTTTGATTTTAATAATGTAGGCCTATTAGTAAATGTTGAAATTAATATTAACTACGATTAATAAATGCTGAAGAAGTATATTATTCGTTCTTAGTTCATGTTAACTAATGAACCTTATTGTAAAGTGCCACCGCTTTTTCTTCATGGCAAGACCTTATCTGTGCAGAAAATGCTAACCCGCCCTGGAGAATACTCAGTGTGACAACTAGCCCCGGTCTCCCTCACACGAGCTGAATTCAGCGCGTTTTAAAAAACGTAACTTATTTCCTTTTAATGAACTCCTACTTTTTCCCCCTTATAATTTTTCCCTTTGAATTTAACTTCATTTTTTTCTTCCTTCTACTTTACTTGGTTAGCAATAAGTTGGAAAAATAATGTTTCGATGTTTTAGCTACACGATCATCTGAAATGTGGAATACCTAAAGTTTTAACATCTAGTCATTTTTTTCGTTCTCTAAATACATCATGCTTCTCTAATCCTTCAGATATAGTCTTTTTGTTTAACGAAAAAAATGCTTAAGATCTGTTTTTAGGACAATTGTTGCACTTTTTCGTACAATATAGCTAAGCTTCTTAAATGTAATGCTGACGTGAATGAAAGGAAAGACACGTATAGCCTAAGGAAATATAATAGTTATAATATAGGCTAATATAGCCTAATATAGGCTAATTTAATAAAATAATTTAATATAGATTCTAACGAAAACTAATAAAAACAACAACGTCCAGAGAAAGATAAAATATAGCCTACCTTTTTACGCATAATCTGTAAACACGCTGATTTGATAGTTCATTCAGTTGGTTTTAACGGTTAGATTTTATTTCTTTTTTAAAAATAGACAAAGGTGTTTTGTGTTGAACGCAGATGAACGTTTAACAATTAATCCAATTCAAACAAAATAACCCCTCACATTTTCAACCTTTCTCTGTCTTTGTTTTGGAAAACAATTAGGCTATAGCAAATAAAATTGTCTATTTTTTATATGTAATATATTTGAGAAAAATCTACTTTTTTCCACAGTTGCTTAAATCAGTCAATGCCTGTCTTGTGTGTTTTGCTGTTTTGACTTGTGGTTATTTTTTAAAATAAATTTGATTAGCAAAATCAGCTTTTGAAATGACACAATCACAAAGTAGGCTACTTTGTATATTTAGCCAGTATTAATTAGCCTAGGCTATTTTTTTTAAATCAAGGAATACGCGATTTTTAATAGATTTGTCTAAATGTTTCAGAACGTGTTTCAGAACCAAGTCTCTTTTTATCAAACCAATACATTGCGTGTTTATTTCACAACCATTTTTTAAAGCCATAATAGTCAGTAAATGAATAAACAAGCTGATCAAAGCTCAGCCACATCTGTTCATTAAGAAACGTGGCATCGGAGCCTCGATCACATCATCTCATACCCGGCGCACAAAAGCGACCCGCGTCCTCGCGCTCTGATTGGCCAGTCCGCAGCACTGCGCTCAGACGCGGCTGTGATTGGCCTGTCCGCAGCTCACGTCACTGCAGGAGAGAACATACTGGGGAGGATGTTGAGGACTGGTACCATAGCTGCGAGACCAGCATCATCGGCATCATCATAATCAATATAATCAATGCAGCTGTGGAGAGTTTGCCACCTGTTGTAAATGTTCCCGGCAGCACGCGATCACAAAGAGTAGAGCGGGCTTGTTTTGAGGAGAAATCCATTGTTTGGAGCCCGAGAGGCACATTTAGGGAGACACATTGTGGATTACAGGCATGCTGCATGTTTCGTGTGTTCCATGTGCAGTTGCACGAGGATGCTGATGGTGATGCCATTTGCACGGAGGGATTCGTGAGGTAAGCAGTTGAGATTTCATCTCAAATGCCTTTTGTTTTAAGTCCAATTGAATTAAGAAAATCCAGATTTAAATATTGTAACCTCATTATTGATTGATTTATCATACACTTGGCTCTTTGCGAATTTTAGTGGTTCGCTATAATTAAAACGGATCCTTTATAAACGCCTAAAATTTTACATTGGATCACACAAAAAAAAGCAAACCCAAAGGTAGTCGTTGATCGTTGAACGTTGAGACATTAGATAGGCTAACCTATTTTTTCAGACACGAAAGCTGACTAATATCCCACATATTGATGATGCTTTAGGCCTAATAAATGTCATATATAGCCTAGCTTAAAGTGTGTTTAGCAAATAAGTGTTGAGAGGTTGTAGTTCATCATCAGAGCATGTTCTTAAAATAAGACTTAATAAAGGGAGTTTGCCTGTGTGAAAATGAAATTAGTAGCATGAAATAAAAGTTTCCAAAGAGGTCTTTATCACTAAATGATGTCACCCGAACACATGGGTGCCTTAAACTCGAAGTGTGTGTGTTTAAGGAAATACAATCGTTAAAATAACGCCACTAAATGTGCTTAAACAGAGCATTTCAGATTTTATGGTGAGACGACCTGCAATATACGTTTTTAGAAATGTACATTCTTCATTGAATAGCCTGTGTGGAGTTTTGCACAACATAATCATTTTATATATATATATATATATATATATATATATATATATATTTAAAAACATAAACAAGGCATGTATATATTTTATAGTAGCCTATGAAGCCTATGAGCCTTGGTTCATCATAGTGGTTTGATGTGTATGTAGGCTATTTTAGACTGTTAAAAATCTTAATTTCGGATTGCAGGAGTTGGGATTTCATAAATGTGAGATTTGAAATGAGATTTTAGTAGAATTATATAAATATACACCAATATCTGATCAATGTCACTTGAGCACCATAGAAAAAAAATAATTTGAATGATAATAAATATTGTTTAATAATATGTTTAGTTTAAAGATACACATGAAATTTTACAGTTGTGTTGTAACTACATGTTTAAAATGAAATATTAAAAAATTCAATAAAATGTGTGTGTGTTTTAGTTCTGGCCTGATGTGTTTCTTCTGCTTTTTTTGCCATTTCTTTTGATAATCTAACAAAATGCTTGCAATTTCTTTGTAGATGTGTTTCTGCAGTCCTAACGTCAGACCAGCGATGTACGGCCACACACTTCTCGGGCCTGAAACCTCTTTCTGAGGGTTGGTTTCTCTCTTTGGTTATCTAGCTGTATGAGTTTTAACACTTTTCATAAAGCTAGATAACCGAAAGTAGAAATAATTCTCAAAATCTGTTGAAAATAACCTGAGAAAACACCCGCTTTTACTTCAGGTAATTCCACATGAATGTTTTCTTTTTTTAAATCATCGATTAGAATTATTCCAGATTGTGATTTGTTTTTCAGAATATGTTAACCAATGATGTTTCCATCAAAGCAGTTGTGCGACTGCAGATCAGTTCAGTCTCCACTGAAATGTGGATAATTTGAAATGAGAGTCTTTTTGTTCATTTTTCTTGACAATCATTTAAAAAGATGGACCTGCACTATTAGTAAGGCAACTGTGCAGTGCTTTTAAAACAAATTGTGAGATTCTCATTTTGATGTCGTCAGGTGAAGGGCCTGGTGGGACACTCGCTATCTCAGCTTTGAAAGAGGTACTCGAGGGCTATTTGTTGTGGTCTGTAGCCTAAACGGAGGCCTTAGGATTGCCCTGTTAGTCCTATTTAGACTCTTTCTGCTGGATTTCCCCATGTGAAAGACAGAAACAATGGCAGCAGTACAAACACTTATTCATTCTCTGTATACACACACACACACACAGACAGGGAAAGCGGCCTATCATTGCATTCAGTGGCTGCCTAAATGAGGCTGCGTTTAATTCTTTAGGAAAAGCCTCTCGATAGAACAGAATCCATTGCAGTGGGTAATGATATACGCTGGCTAATTGGTTGGACCCAATGGAGAGCATTTTATAGCTTGAGTGTAACATGAGGATATTCTCATGCACTTCTGCACTTTCTGGATTGGACATCTTCAAAAGCATGCATATAAAAATGCACATTTGTAGTTCATTTGTAATCAAAAATTTTATATATATGAAGAGTTCAGATGCAAAAGCCTCTAAATGCCATTTGAAATTTTCTTCTTTAATGATGATTTTTATCAAACTTGTATATTTAAGTTCAGTGATTTCACTTAAATAACAATTAATAGGTAATTATCATTGCCATTTAAGTGAAATCACTGAACTTAAATATACAAGTTTGATAAAAATCATCATTAAAGAAGAAAATTTCAAATGGCATTTAGAGGCTTTTGCATCTGAACTCTTCATATATATATATATATATATAATATTATGTATATACTGTATATGTATATTTGTGTGTGTGTGTGTGTGTGTGTGTGTGTGTGTGTGTGTGTGTGTGTGTGTGTGTGTGTGTGTGTTTTGTATTATATTGTAATATATCCAATAAAATATAATTTATTAACTATTAATAGTTAATATATATATATATATATATATAAAAACATTATGTATATACTATATATGTGTGTGTGTGTGTTTTGTGTACGTATATATATATATATATATATATATATATATATATATGTATATATATGCAGTATATTATATTGTAAAATATTCAATATTCAATAAAATTATATTTTATTGAATATACA